ACGTATTACGCAGAGAACGTATTTTAAAAGCAGACTCAAGCAATGTTTTGGCGAAATTCTCCAGAAAAATTTCAAGTTTGCTTGCTCGCAACAGCTTTGTGAACACTTACCACTTTTTATCAAAAGTTTTATTTATCATATAATTTACCTAAGGGAAAATAGGCGTCGCAAATCAAAAAGTTGCCGTCGGATGCGACGGCCGACGGCTGATTTTGAAAACACTGTGTGGAAAAAATGAAAAATATTAATGTAAACATGCCTATTAGTCTGTTATTCATTTAATAAAGTTATAAGCAATAGATGTTCATTATTAATTGGATAAACCTAGCCTGGTCACGTCCAGTGAAGCCAACCAACTGTATACATGTAGAAAAATGCAAAACTTTGCGTTTGATGACATTCAGTACGAAAAAATCTGCACTGTTCACTTACTGTTGTGTCTTTGAGTTTATTAGTTTTAAGCAACAATTGATAATGAAGGGGTGTGTGAAAAAAAAATAGTAACATTTTTTAGATTTTTAGGTATTTTTAGGTTTTCATGCATGTGATTTGATAGACTGCAATTTTTATCAACATGTATATAACACTAAATAGTCTATGCATTTGGGTGGGACACGAATTTTCAATATCTAGATTAACATAATCAAGAAGCCAGTTAGGAAGGTCTAAATTCCTTGTTGAGCAATTAAGACAACAAGAAAATGGCAGGGTGATTTTATTAAATAGTTGATGTTAGTTTATACAAGTGCCAAACTTTCCAATTACTTTTAGGGGCAGTGTCATCAAGGTTTTGTGTTACTTCAAAATCCAACAAATGCATAATTATATCAGTATGGAAATCCACTGATTCTCTATTTTCACATAGACCATAATGCACCTTGTTTGCCCCCAAAATTTTGCATCAATTAACATTCTTTTCAATATTCAATATTTCTCTTGGGCTGACTGAAATACCCAGGAGAAACTGAAAACAAAATGCAAAATTTTCGGGGTAAACAAGGTGCATAAATTATGGTCTATGTGAAAATTGTGAATATAGTAACATTAATGGCCTCTCTAGGAGTCATTAAAAAGAGAGTTTACACCATAAGAAAACTAAAGTGGACAAATCCTTAAAAAATTTGGGCTGATCCATTTTCAAGTTTGCTGGAGTTACATCAATTGGAAAATCTTTTCAAAACCATTAAAAAGATATTGTTATTATTATAGTTCGCTTGTGCTTTTCAGAACGATTTGATGTCTTTCCCGTCATTCAAATGTCATGTTGTGCAACTCTGGGTTCTAAACGGGCCTTATAGCAAAGTATGTGATTTCTCTTCCGGAGTATACATGTATTTTTTGCACAAAACACTCAGGGTTGGTTATTAAAACAGAGCTTTACTAATATAATGAGGTTTAAAAAAATGTCTCAGCCCCCAAAATAGATATTAAATGATTTTTTCAGCCTAGCCTTGAAGCCTTTTTGATGCTCTTAACAACAAACAATGTTTTCTAGATATGGGCGGTAAGGATGGTACAATAACTGAAATTAAAAAAATGACTTAGAATGCGCAAGATCTGTTAAACACTACCTAAACTTTGTTTTAATAACCAGCCTTTAGTTTCAATTTCTAGATTCGCAATTAACTAAAAATTTTAGAGTCTACATTGTGCCCAAAGCAAAGTGGCCTTAAAGGGAACAGGTCGTAAGTTGGTTTTTGTGTCCATATTATGCAAACTTTGGACCACAAATTATGAGTTAAAGTTGCCTTTGTGTGTTTAACAGAAAGCTACATGTACATAAATGGAGTTAATATTTCTTATCTCTTAATTAGTGTTAGCCCTTTGTGGGTTTATAAATGGAAAGCTTTGTAAATATGCCACGTTATTAATACTGCCCAAGCGTAAGTAGGTCAAGATGGCTGGAATTGTTAGGGGTTTCAATGTTTTAATGAAACAATACAAAGTTTGTGATCAACAAGTTCTTTAACCTACGTAGACTAGCTGGCGGTTTCATTTTTCATTCAAACGAAAACAACACCCTGCACACAGCAAACAAACCGCCAGCTGCAGTGCGGGCTACAAGTTCTTGGAAACTCAGTGTTTTGTTGTAAGTTTTCCTTGGTTTTAATATGAAAGTTTTTTTCTTTCTTAAATAAAACGAACCAAGGATGAAAATGAATTTCTACATAGGCATACCGATAATTTAAGACAGAATCCACCAGGAAATTGAGTAATTTTAATTTTCAGTGGACAAAACAAAAAAACCCAGAATAATTTAAAGAATTTTGCATTCTTTGTTTTACATTTTTCAAGGGCTGAAGATGTAATAAATCATCTGTAGTAACACCAGAGAAAATTTCTCATGGAAGTCCGAGAAAATGAATGTCAAATTTTACGAGAATTGTGATTACATTTAAAATTCTGAAAAATTTGACATTCATTTTCTTGGGCTCCCATTTTTTTTGGTGTCACTACAGATGAATTATTACATCTTTAGCCCTTGAAAAATGTAAGAAAGAATGCAACATGCCTTAAATTAATAAGGTACAAGATTTTTGTCCTCTGAAAATCAAAATTCCTCAACATTTACATTGTATCTTTATCATGACCGAACTGTAGCATTGTAATACCATTAGTATTTTGTTAATTCGTATGTTTTATTTGCAAAATACAATTAAATGTGTTACTGGCTTACTTTTTTTATAAAATACATAGTTTTTTGTTTTGAACTGAACACAGGGGTAGGGGTGAGGTAGTGGTCAGAGCACTCGACTCCCATCAATTTGGCCTGGGTTCAGGTCTTGCTATGTACGCCATATATGGCTTAGGGACCGGTCATTATTTATCGCCTGGGTGCGGGGTCGGAGGATTTTAGAGGGGATTACTTGATTTTTGGGAGAACAAAAGGGGGGATCAGTTGTAACTGAGAATCCAAAAGCGGGGATCGCTGAAAACCTCGGAAGGATTCAGAGTGAGGACCCTCAAATTTGCTTGGAAAATGAAGACGTAGTGAGGGGGCGGGGGGAGATCGTGAAAGTCATCAAAAGGTTTTAGGGGGGATCACTTCAGTGAAGTAACACTCAAAGGGGGTATCGGCTAACTTTCCTCTTGTTTTTCCCCAAATCCTCCTCCCCCCTCCCGGAGATAAACAATGACCTGTCCCTTAGACCTGGTTAGCAATGAACGCGCTAAATTAATGAAAATCGCCACCCGCGAGGAAGGTGTCCCACGCGCGGTGCTCTCTTTCTTTCGCGCGTCACCTTTCTCGCGGGTGGTGAGGAAAATGACAGAATACTCGTAGTCAGATTGTTAAGGCTATTTTCTTTCCTGACTTTTTTACCGCAAAAAAAACAATAAAGCATTGTTATGGAACTCTGGCGTCGAGTTTTCCCTGGAAGCAAAGAAGCTAAGCGACGTATAAAATCTGTCATTTAAAATTATTTTGAATGACAGATTTTTCAGGAGTTAACAGAAAAGCAAGAAATCCCGCAGGAAATCCCAAGCGGGCTAGATTACTGTGAAACTCAGAAAACCGTGAACACATGAAAAATTTCGGGAAAGTTGACTGTGTAGCGGCAAAAAAAATGCAATTTATTTGAGTGTCAATGTATTTAGCAGGAGAGTACTTTTTGGGGACACTATTTTTACACGGGACCGCCATTTTACGTGGTCATCCGAGGCACGCGAAGGTCTAGCCGCTTACAGGTTAAAAAAGTACCTTCATATCTCAGTTATTTTAAGACCTTGAGTATTGTTGGTTTTCACATGACGTCACTAAAATTCAAACTACTGAGCTAACCCTGCGTGGCCAATCACAATAAAGTTTAGGATACGAAAGGAATCCTCAAAACCACAAACTAATTACCATTGGTGTTTGCGGTTTAGTTATCTCGCGCCTTATTGGGTAATTTCTCGCAACACAATAACATGCCATAAATATTTCTGGTGTTGAAATTGGAAAGGTCTTCCCTATAATGAGAAAGTGAGCACGATAGGGACATACCGCTTTCACGAACTTAAACTTCAAGCCGTTTCTGGACACGCCAATAAGACGAGGCATTATCAGCTCTGGGACGAGGTCACTTTTAACAGTAACCGAGACCCTCGCTGGTACTCTCGGAGGGTTAAAGAAACACTTAACAGCATCAATAGGGACAGTGGAATTGAGAATTCTCGGCTGATACGAGGATGCCTACAGTCAGACACCGATCAGTACAACAGGACAGCGGACCGCTGAAGGAACATTCATCTCCTCTAATGCCAACAATGCTTTAGATCGAGCCCTACCAACTATGTCCTGGGTGAGGTTCGTGATACAGAAATTAGCCAATAAGGCGCGAGATAACTAAAACGCAAACAGTAATGGTAATTAGTTTGTAGTTTTGAGGTTTGCTTGCTTTGCTTGCTTTATTGTGATTGGCCAGTACACAATCAACAATCCTGTGTGCCGATAACACACATGTACTACAGCGGCAACACTAAGTAATTTGCATCAAAACCTTTATTAGGTAGTTTTCCAGGAAGATCATTTTGACAAGCAAATTTACTTGTATCGAAACAATTTTGTATCGAAACGACCGGCCACCGTCATAGCATAAGATCTTGTAATCTTGTCCGTGTGTGGTAAAACGGAACCCGAGGCTCAGCCATGGAGGTAGGTAGGTAGGTAGATAGATAGATAGGTAGATATAAGTAGTTAGTAAAATCCAACTAGTGGTCTATTATCAATGCTGCATTCTGATTGGTTGAACTAATACTAGGCTATATGTTATAGCGCACTAGTAGCGAAAAGTCTAGCTTTAACTAGCTAAAGTTGTTTTGTCTCGATATTTTTGACCAACTAGTTGGATTTTACTAAAACAATTATTCCTCTCACCCTCATGGCCTCTGAGTCAATAGCCCATGAGGCCGAAGGCCGAATGGGCTATTGACTCAGAGCTCATTCGGGCTCGAGGAATAATTGTTAAATACAATTCATTACAACTCAAATAAGAAAACAGTATAAACTATCTACATTATAATAAAAATATTAAAGAAAAAGCTGCTTTCCATGAATGCCGTGCCCTTGAGTACTTGTTTAAGAAGACATTTGAATTTCGTAAGGGAGTCTGCTTATCTCACTTTACACTAGAGTTTGTTCCATAGGATGGCGCCACTATAGCTAAAGCTATTGTTGTAATAATTTGTCCGTGGTAAAGGATGCAATTAGTTTATTCTCAGAGTCTCTAAGGTTATATGCCGTTTCTCGTATTGCAAACCTAGAACATAAATATTCTGGAGCCAACTCGTGTAAAGACTTAGAAACCATCGTGGCTTTTTCAATTTCATGCTGGCGCGCTAGATTTTTCCATCCTGGGAGTTCAAACAGGTAACCAGCGTCTTCACCGTGCTCTGAAAATGTCAAAAAACGGGCTGCTCTATTTTGTAGTTTTTGAAGTTTGTTCCTTAAGGTTATCCCACAGTTTCCGGCCCAAACAGTATTGCAATAATTGAAGTGAGGGTGAATAAGAGCTTGGTAAATTAGTTGCAAGGTCGCTTGGGGGACAAGGTGCCTTACTCAGTCGCTTTATGGCCCCGATGCCAGAAGATACTTTCTTTATTATCTTCTCCATATGGCTACGCCATTCGAGATTATCATCCAAGGTGACTCCAAGTGGATTTAGCAGTAGCGACTTGGGTAACTCGAAAATCATTAATTGCAAGTGCTGGGGAAACTGTTACAGTACTTAGCCTCTACCTAGATCCAATTAACACGAACTCGGTTTTCATGAACTCGCAAGGTGCGCTTGATGAGACGAAACTTGCTCAAAGTACATTCTAGCAAGGCATTTCTACTGAGAACTTCGACTGAGCATTTATTTCGGAGTTAAGATTTCAATCCATCTGTGAATTTTATCGTCTTTGCCGCAGTTGCGCCTTCATTTCTTGAATGCGATTCACCAACGGACGATTTGAAGTTGCACATTTTCCAAGGACTAGATCCAGGCCCTCCTCGCTTTTATGAGCAAAAGCTGTTTCCGCCGCATCTTCGTATTTCCTGTTCCTGGGACAAAAATTAAAATGTCGTCTATAACTAGGTGCAATATGATTAGCTCGTTTCTCGAAAGTCCCGGTAACTTTTCGGGCCCGAAATCAAATAATTAAATCAAAATCAAAGGAATAAAAACACGAGTCCTAGCCAACAAACTAGTCAATTTTGTTTTTACTGATAGAAAGCTACACGTCACATCAGTATGGAATATCTGCAAACATTCTTCAGACCAGTTCGCGAGGAAACCAGTGGTGGTGTCACAAAATGCCAGCTATTTTCTCAGGGTGGCATCAATTAGCAGTGCAGAACTCGAGTCGTTGTTCCCAATTCCTTACGAATTTGTATTCACCCAGGGTTATGAATAGAATTTTGTGGTCAGTGCGCGCTTCTTTGTTCTGGGGTGAAAGGATGAACGGCATAGTCGCAACACAAGTGACCGCTGCTCAAGTTAAAGTTTGTTTAGCCAGCACTTTGAGCAAAGTAAAAACTTCAATGAACTGATAAACTCACCCGAGTTTCACATAACACGTCACTTTATTTTCGGGAAGAACTCTGGAGACATATTTCTCCGCTTCTATTATGTTGTTGGATTCCAGGCATGTTTCAAAAAATGGCTGTAAGAAAGCAATGTATATAAAATTTGCCACGTCTTCACACTGGAATGTTTATTCACAATGTTTCACTGAGTTATGGAAACTCAAAAACGTAGTCTTGAATAATAAAAAAAGAAATAAATCGGCTTTTTGATAAATACCGGCCATCTTTCCGAGACGACCATCATTCTTATTCCGGCAGACAGTCCGTACATTCACTCTTGAACATTTAATATCTTACATGGTGGGGTTAGGGTTTCTTTTTGTGTTTTTCATTTTACCTTCTGCCAGGTTCCGGGGGATGTTCCGGTGGATGTTCCGGGGGGTATTCCGGAGTGTTCCGAGATGCCCTCTTATTCCCCACAATGGCAACTCCTCCAGAAAAGGCACTTTGCTCTCAAGGGCGCCGTTGTAGAAAGGTTTGACACTGGTACAAAGCCGTTTCCTGTTTCGGGAAAACCTAACTTGCGATCCGGCGGTCCTTCTTCCCAAAAGAACGTAACGCCTGATGTCAGGTTACGGAAAACCTTGTCAATGAAGTTACCTCGTATCCAATCAGAGATTTACGAGCCTTGGAAAACTTGTCGAGTTCCAGCCAGTTGTGACTTTCAGCCAAGGATCTTACTTTCAGCCAATAAAACCTGAAGACAACACAATGCATGACTTGCAGCAAATGAGCTGAACTATGAGGCAGGAGTTTGAAGGGGTAGGAAAAGAATGAATGACTGAGGTGCGCGTCAACGTGAGGGCCGCGCGAGGACGAAGGGAAGGAATCCCTGTCTGCCGTTTTTCCTCGCGCGTCCTTATTCCCTCCCCCCTTTCACTACTCGTTGAAATGACTGCTATACAGGCTACAATTCAGTGGTGTCAACCAGCAAACTTTAGCTCCGCGTGGTGCAACTAAAGGCTATTTCGAAAACGGGCCGTGTGAGAAAGAGAACGCGATGAACGCGTGAGCAAGAAAGGACGAAAACCCTTTGTTCCCTTCCTAATCGCGCTCCCTTAACATACTGACGCGCCCTTTCCCCCCCCCTTTACTCCCTTTCAAATGCTTGACACAGGCTACAAATCAGGGGGGTAAACAAACAAAACTTAACACTACACGGTGCAACTAAAGGCTGTTTCAATAACGGGCTGAGAACGCGAAAAAAGAACGCGATGGACGCGTGAGGATATGAAAGGACGGAAACCCTTTCTTTCCTCCTCCCTCACGCGCCCTAATTCCCACATTTCTCTTCCCTTCAAACGCACAGGCTACAAATCAGCGGTGTGAAGAAGCAAGCCTTAGCTTAACGTGGTGCACCTAGAGGCTGTTTCAAAAAAAAGGGTCCTTGGATGTCAAAGGTCTCGTTGTTTACGCGGTCTCTGATTAAAAAAAAAAATGTTACAAACCTTTTGTCCGGAACCTTGAATTCCTTTTTCAGTTGCTCAGAGACTTTGAGGTCTCCTTGAAGTATGCACTGAAAAGTATAAAGTAATCCTTAGAAACTAACCCCAGGAAAGTATGATAGTGTATGGGAATTAATTAACATTGAAGCGGTTTACTGTGCTTTTTACAAGGTGGTTTTCACTACTTTAAGTCTGGATAAAATCCTTAAGAACAACAATTCGAACGTAAGCTACTGAACAGAGATTTCCTGAATATACTGTTGATTCCAAGTTCTAAGATTTGATTCTGTAGATGCAATCTTTTAGTATGGCCATTCCAATGAAAGCTTGTACTTGGCAGAGATTTCCAGCGGTACTGTTTATTAAGCATATTGATGACATCTTAATTTTGATCATTCAAACAAGAGCTACGGTTCAGACCAATCAATTGAGATTTTTGAGTAACTGACTACCTACCCCTCCCTTAAGTCACAATTTGTCCCTAAATTAGAAGTAAGGGTTAATGTTGACTTAGGGGAGGGGTAGGTGGTCAGTTAACTGGCCTCAATCCACAGTAAAGGCTAACACAGCTGGGTGTGTTAATGATCGTACCTGGTAGATAGTATCACTCAAGGACAGATCCATAAATGTCTTTTTGTACTTCTCTTCTAGTTTGACTTGATATTCCATGAGTTTCATTTGTTCTTCTGTTGCCTGGAAAATTGAATCGCACATGCATACAATGCATAACTGACAAGAAATGTTTTGTTATAATATTTATAATATAGTTCAGATCAGTATAGAGTGTTTTCACTCACGTGGCCAGCATCTATGCAAATTTGTTGGAACAAAAGATAGCGTTTGCATATAAAGAAAAGAGTTCAACTCCCAGGGATTGGTTTGGGACACCAATATGGCCGCCATGACGTCATGTGGGTACTTTTGATTCGAATATCGCAAGTTTATCCCATATTCTAGATTACTAGACAAGACATAACGTCCGTCTTCCGTTTCTTCACATGAAGGAATGAGTGGCTCTAGTGTTGAAGGAGTTTGAAGTATTTTAAATAAAAGCAACAAAGTGAAGAGCACACACCTTTGAGTAGAACTGAAATCCTCCTTGCTGGTAAGACATCTGTGCTTTGGACAATGTGTTCATCTTGGATTCTATTGTCTAAATAATAAAAATAGAAGAAAATCAGATTTTATCTCAAGTGTACTGACAAGAGATATCAAAACGATGATTCTATTCTATGGCCGGCAACATTTCATAGATAACGAATTACCTTTTATTTCTCAAGGAATAAAAAGGTGAGCGCCAATCTCTTTTCCAAGGATGTGATCCTTTTGGTTTAGGACTAAAAGTAACCGCTCCGCCAGACAAGGTTAGTAAAAGCTCTGCGGAACAGATTGGGAGAGAGACCGGAAGGCGTAACGCAACTAAACAATTTAAACCCTTCGCGTGACGGCCTTTCCTGCAGAGCTGCGATTTTCAGGCGCGCGCGCTTTGTTCGCTGTACGATCCCTGTGAAAAATAACAGATAACTTGTAGTCTTATGTCTGCTAAGGTGACGTGGTCGCTGCATGTATTGAGGGCCACTATTTACAACGAAGAAATGGACGGCAACAATTAGTGCATGTGTAGTAGATATCACTGGTTGAATAGAACGAATTTTGCTAAAGGTTTCGAGTTTAAACACGAGAAATGTGCGAGTTAAATTACAAATAAGAGTTGCTACACGTATTCTTGGCTCTTCTTGACGCTAAAAATAAACAAGATTGCTGCCGACCATTCGTTCACAGGGGTTTATCTCATTTTCTAACCGGAAAACGTCCCGGCAATGAGGTTGAGGGGAGCTTTGTAGTCACCTAAAGTCACGGAAACAAAAATAATCTATGACGCCATGAAGAAACGGAGTGAAGCGTAAAATAATCAAACAACATTCGACCAGATCCCTTCCTAAGCATGATAGCATTCAAGCTACTTTACATGATACCTTCTCGCTATAGCTGTCCTGCACAAAGGCATTACCACTGTTCATAAACTGGTCATCCTGGTAGAACAGGTCCACAAGTGTACGGCGATCCTGATCCTTACAGTACTGCAGTCAAATCACAGTCATGCCAAAGTGAATATATAGGTTTCATAATAACCTGCGCGGCAGTTTGCGTAACAGGTGCAAAAACGAGAGACGAGGGGGAGGGGAGTGAAGGGAAAGGAAGCAGAAATGAAAAAAGGTATCCTTTTTTTCTCTTCCCTTTACCCCTCCTTTTTTCACTTTTTTCAATACCTCTTAAGACGCCTGCCACACAGTCTAATGATTTACAATAACCGAGTGATTTACGCGCTCCGATTGGTCGAGAACTTTTGCTTACGGCAGTACAGAGAAGAGAAACAGAACTGAAGGTTCTTCTCTTCTCTGTTTCTAGAGTGCGATTCTCCGGGACATTGTAAAAAACAAATAGATACGTAGCCATTTTTCACTGCCGCGACTCCGACATTTCAAAGAAATGGGATTAAAAATGCTCCAAAGTTTACCGTAAAACCTCTCACTCCTCCACTTAAGTTTTAAACATTGTAACGTCATTTTTATGACCTTAAAAAAATGAACAGATAAAGGAAAAAATGTCTCCTGGCAAATAATGGCGGATTTTCTCTTGGTTGAAGCCTTGAACAAACACGCACTCATTTACGCAACTTTTTTTATAGACTCACCTTGATGTAGAGGCTGAGTGCCACAGGATGGTAACGTATGGCCATCAAGAACTCACCAAGAGTTAGATTATCCTTCCAATGCATAACAACCATATACACTAGAAAGAAAAAAAGACAACACAAATGAAATGTCATCTAGATACAGGGGAAAAACAATTCGGCGGGTTTTGGATGACGGCAGTTTGGATCCATCAATTTTGATCACCTGACCAGAGAAAGCCGTTACCATTGGAGGACAGCACGTAAGGATCAAGATGGTTGAAATATACTTAAAATTGTGTCAACGGCGAGGGAAGATCCAAATAATGAGCAACAAAACAATCTCAAAAATGTTTTAAGGTTTGAGCCTCTGTCTCAGCTTGTAACGCCGCTGGTGTAACGCCAACTTTTAAGGTGAGAAAGCTTATTCTAAATTTTTGAAACCTTTGGTACAATTTCAACATTACGATAGATCTTTCTGTGCGTCGGCTCTTGCGACTACAACGAAACAAAAACGGGCTTCAAAAATTGTTCCCATCCACTATAAAGTTAGCTGTAGTTCTCCGCAGTGGTACCCACTTATAACTCACCCAGATCCGTGTCTCCACTCATAATAGCCTTTTCGAGCGCTAGGTCATCTTTATTCATGCGCATGAGCAATGGAACTTGGTCAGCGGCTTATGCTTCATAGTCCAACAGCTACAGGTAAAAAATCAGACCACGAAGATGTGAGTATCTCAAAAGATACATAATGCATCATGGCATAGCCTGTACACAGACGTTGTGTTATTTTTCTTTTCGTTCTTTTCAAATATAATCCCCTTGGTTTATATTTTATCACCCGCCCTCGACGGACTTTGAAGAGAAAATAGAGGGTCTGTGAACAGGCTATCATGGCATGGCTATGATAGGCTCGTTTACCGATTGTCAAACGACGAACTTACTATGGTGAGATTGCTCCAGCTAGAGGTCAAGGCTGGCTTTAAGCCAGGCTGTAAGCGGGTCTCCTCGTGGAGGCACAGGCGGCGAAGCCATGAGAAAGGCCGTAGGCAAAACCTGGACCGCAGAACCGGATCAGATCAGTCCCAGAGGCACTATCCCTTACCTTTCGTTATTCAGTGCGTTACAGGGGTTGATCTGACCTGGTCCGTTCCAGGTTTTGTTGACGTCGTATGAGACGAGCATGTTGGTAACCCCCGGACAGACCAATGGTGAAAGTTAAGAAGTTATATTGACCAATGGACCACGTTCGATATATTAAACTTCTAACATGATTCCGAGGCTTTAGGGTCCCTTCTTCGTTCTGCCGAAGGGCTAGAGCATGAAACTTGTTTGTATTTAATTTATCAACTCATTTGTTAAATCTCTCCATATTCCATTCCCCCATTGGTCTTCTTTGCAGTCGTACGTTTTGTTTCTCGACATGAATCCTTTAACAATTGAGTAATATTTCACCATAGTGGTGTTGCTGGTAATAAAGCCGACCGCCGAACTAATTACAAAGCGCGGTCCTCATACTCCGGATACTGAAAAAACCTACAGTAAAAGCAATCTCGCAGGTAAAAAAATCCCATTCTATACCAACCCACGTTATTTCAAGCCTCAGTGCATTTATGCCTCAAATTGTGCTTGGAACGTAATCTATAATATAACTGTTCACATGTGAATGCTCTCAACTAACCTTGATGGCCAGGTGAGTTCGTCCACAGTCCACTGCCTTTGAAGCTATTTCTGAGTAAGATATCCCAGGAGTCTCTCCGAGCTTGGAGTTGATGGCACGAGCAATCTTAGCCTGAGATCATGCCCTCTCCCTATTATCCCTTTATGTCTCTCACGGGAAGAGGGCATGATACATTTCTCTGTCGGATCACATGTAAAAATGCCAGAATCTGGACTTCTTTCTGATTGGATAGGAAACAATGCGGATGATTTGCGCTGTTCCGATTGGCCAAAATGACGCCATCCGTTAGTTGTTGTTGATTTCAGTCTGCATTTTTGCTTGCGTAATAAGCAGTGAATACACACGCGAGTTCGTTATGAAATTTCTGCCCGCTCACTTTTCTTGAATTTGAAGAATGCCTAAATAGAAGTTTCATCCATTGAAATATTTACCATCTCATCGTATACCAAAACAGTTGCAGTCAAAACTTCACCGATCATTTGAATGCAATTTGATACCGGCTACAAGTTACAGAAGCGACAAACGGGTTCACTTTTCAAATAATCAATTCATGAATGGAATCTTGACCTGGTTTGACTGTATTTCCTCCTTCAGAAATCATGCTGCGAATTATTCTGAGCGATCTTCGCTTTCACAACACCTTTCAGTTCGTGAAATATGGTGCTTCAGCCTAATTTTTTTTCCACTGCTTTCGGTACAGAACGAAGTCAACGAGCTTTAACCAGTAAATTCTTTATTATTTGTAGCTATTCATAAAGGTACGACAGCTCCAGCTAGCAGTATATTTCATCACAAAAACAACACATTAATTTTTTTTTTTTTTTTTTTTTTACGAAGCGCCATCTGAACACGGACGTACTTAAAAATTTTTTTTCCCTAAAACTGATTTCAAAAGAGACATTATTCGCGCCAAAATTTGATTCCCGTTTGGTAAACGCTTATTGGCTAAAAACATGACAGGTCAAGCAAACGTTAGATTATGTAAATTAGGGGGCGGTTGACTGCTTGTTAAATAAATGTATCAGGCGTTATTTTTTTTTCCCTCTCGAGCCAAAGAAGCAAAAAAAAAAAAAAAAAAAAAAAAAAAAAAAGACACCTGATCTCAGGTTAGAGCAATCTCTTCGTCATCAACATTGGCTTGCTGAACCTGTTTAAACAAGAAAAGCAAGTTTTGAAGAGGTAAAGGATCGAAAGAGATGTCAATATATTCAACGCAAGAAAAACTATTTACGGACACTATTGTATTCTACTAGGGCGGAGAAGTTAATTTCAATGTGATCATCCCAGCCATGTGAAAGTCCAACTGTTTATTTATTGAGGAAATAGAACACAACAGGATTGAAAAACCCAACTGGCAGGAGGCAACCAGTTGGCTATTTACTAGCATGACCGGGTATCTGAACTTGGAAATACCGCGAATAAATTCAGCAAGTGGCTAGAGTGGGACTCCAATCCGGGACCGGCGGATTGCGAAAACAACGCGATGGGCGCCTGGCCACGCTGTCTTCACCGCGTACAATCCAGTCTAATTGATCTAGATCTTTTCATAGGTTGATTTTGTGATCTTTGATAAATACACAAACGCGAAGAGCAATGTGCCAAATTCAGCACATGAAACAACCACCGGACGCCCAACTCCAGTTGTGTCTACTGCCACAACCATAATTTACCATTACCAATTTTATCAAATTACCAGCCATAAGCTGATTCCAGGAAGACCCCTGCTAACATATAGGTAACAGCCAACCGGTATCCGCTGATCATACTCACTTTATAACAAGCCCAATGTCCAAGGATGCGACTGGCACCCTCCCCATTAAGAATCTTCAGGTAATCACAGATTCTTATGGCCAGACAGAGTGACGCCTCAAAACAAGCCTACAGGAGCAGAAAATAAACGGTAGTAAAATGAACTTAAGGCAAAGAATTCCCGCTCCAGATCTGACGGCAGGAAAATCAATTTAGTAAACACGGTTTAGACACGGAAAGTAGGCAAGTAAATAAACAACAACTTTGCTTCAGCTTGTTTTATATTTAGTAGGAATGCAAATAATTTTGATATTTTAGAAATGATTTATGCCTAACCACGTCACCATTTTAGTCGGGCAAACGAGAAAAATTATCGGACATACATCATATTCATTGTGTTATTTTTTTCTTAAAAGTAGTATTTCGTTCTATGTACTATAGCAGGTCTGGTGCATAATCAATAAAAATTTCAACCCTGCACACTATAGAGCCCCCAGCAGCTCAGTGGATAGAACGTCCGATCTCGAACTCGGAGGTCGTAAATTTGATTCTCACCTGAAACTCGGAACTTATTAAACGGTTTACATTGCAATAAACACTTAAACACTTAATGACTGGTCTCGAGGGAAACAGTTAAATTTGTTTTCTGAGAATCTCAATGTTTCCCGAGGCTATATAGCTGGAAATTCATTAAATCTCGCTGTAACAGTAGTCGTCGGTCAACATTCGTGGGTAACAATGCACTGTTCCCCTATGACGTCATACATTTTGCATGTTGTCCGCTCACAGATTTTGGCGGGAAACAGTTTCATTGTTAGATGTCATGTGACCTCGAAGAAACCAATCACAGCGCGCACTGTTATGAAAAAATTTCCAGCTACGTAGCAATACATCTTGTTTACCGCAACCTCCCCCTAAAAAAAAATGCATAAGCATTGCACCTTTTACCTTTTTTAAAAAGACAACAAACAGGGTGACAAAAACAAAACTCACCTATCGATAAGGGTTTTCATTGTTAGCTTTTCCAGTCTAAGACGATCGTCAAGGCATCAAAATTGGATAATTTTTGAAAAATAATCAAAGAGTACTCTCAGAGGACAAAGAAGCAAAATGGAGCCCACTTTAAGAACTTGATAAGAGCCACAAAATTGAAAACTGTGTTAACGTACTTTTAACATATCCGTTTCAAAAAAGAGAAAAAGGAACATATCTCGTTCGTTCCCTGTAAAAAAATGTAAGATTTGAACCCCGCAGCTTTGCTCCGTTACATAAATCGCACCGGAATGAGCGTTCTCTTGTGGGGACAGAAACACGGTATGGTTTCCGTGCCGACGCAAGAGCTATCTGTCATAGTGTTAGCCTGCGTAGAAAAGGTTTCCGCGCAAGTTCGTCGAAAAAGTTGGGATCAGAGCAATGATAACTTGGTTGAAGATGATGTGAACTGCGGAAATGCAAGTCTAAATAAAGATATGATCGTCGCAGCGGAAATTACAATTTAAGCAATTGCAAATTAACCCGAAAAATAAAAAAAATTTTCGTGTTGCTACGGAGGCTAGCATAGATTAGTGTAGACTTGCTGCAACACACGCTGCAATTGGGCAAAATGCAACCTGTGAGACGACGCTCTTGCAACAACTGAAAATTTGGTTCACTCTTGAATTAAGATAAAGGATACTGTCCATATGTAAGTGGAATTCCAACCATGTAGTCCCGCACGGCGTTTAACACTCTAAGATTCCGGCACATCGAAACAAACGCGTGTGGCGGCATATCAGTTAGAAAACTCTTACCAAAGGAAGCAGCCTAGCAAAGAGATTACAGCGAAGATTAGTAAAACAAACGGTTATACTAAAGGTTAAATTTTCCCCAACAACGACCGCCGCAGCGCTCTTATTGGTTACTACGAGGGCACATGACATGTTACACGAGAGCTATTTCCCGCCTAAAATCTCTGACCAAGCGACGTTGCAAACTTCGCTTGGTAGATGGTAACAGAGCAGTGTTATCTGCGAATGTTGACCACTCGCTGAGATTTGCTATACTTTCAATTCATTCTGCATAACTGAAAAATCACTGAATGACGCGTTCGTCGAAAGCATTAATAAAGTCCTTTATGTCTCTTACTACACTCCTCAAATAGAAACATACTGGACGAACTATTTCCGCTCTTTCGCTTTCAATTCAAATTAGCCAGATATACTGAGTACAGATTTTCTTTTCACGGCATCACGTTCAACGATTTATGCCCAAGCGAATTTGAAGGAACTTCAGCAGATTAACTAAAACTTTTTCAGTAGGAGGTGGTGATTTTGAAACTGAAGACAGATAATGTTTTTTTTTTCAATGCTAAATTTATCTGGCAGTTTACAGAGCACCAATCACTGTGTAAGAAACCTTAAACTTGTCAACAACTCCCCCACCCCCTGGGGGTGGGTTGCTGTGAGAAGCGAAACGTAGCAGCTAAACATAAGGATCATGTGGTTACCATGACTACCTCCGAAACTATACTCACCCTCAGCAGTCCTCTTTGTATTGCAGGCTCATGTTCCCCAGCAGCGACGTGGATACATTGCTGGACAGCCTCAGGAAGACGTTCTTTGATCATCCGAATGTACTCTTCTGTTCGGGCGCTCTTTTTCTGTTTCAAGGAATATACACGAAAGAATCATAACGACAGCTTAATTTTTAGGGATTTAGTTTTTAGTGTAGTTTAGAATCTTCAAGTTGAAACTTTAAAGTTGTTCGTCAGGTATTCTTTTTATTATCATGCTATGGTTTTCTTCATTCATTATTGTTATTCCTTATGAATTCTGTAAAGTGCTATTGAGGTTTTGGACTGAAATAGCGCTATATAAATAAAGTTGATTATTTTTTATCATATGGAGAAAAGTTGGCTCAGCTAGAATGGTGACCTTACCAAGGAAAACAGTTCACCCAACAACAGGCTCGCCCAGGGTGGCTCGCAGTGGCGGTCTAACAATAAAGGGGGTGGGGCGAGCCCCCTTGTCCCCTCCCCTAGATCCGCCATTGGCTTGGGTAGGCGGCTGAGCCTTTCACCCGAGACAACTTTTTCCCAGAGAGAGTGAAGCATTGCTTACCTCAAATTCCTTTGATGCATCAAACAGCATAGCACCTGGTTCCATTGAACCGATTTTAAACACTTGTTCCACAGTAGCTGAAAGATGAATAGAAATAGTTGCTCTAGTATCGGACATAATTATTCACATTCGTGATAAAAAGTGGTTCTGGTTGAACGGTAACCGGTCAAGTCGCTAGAAAGTCATCTCGCCCGAAGTCATGTCGCCTGAAATCCTAAGTCATGTCGCCGAAAATTTTATCGAGTGTATAAACTTGAACAAAAGTAACATCTGAAGTATATCGGAAGGAATTTAGTCGAAAAATGTCGACTCAACTGTGTCCGATACCCTATGCAAATGTGAAGTTAAACAAAAACGCAAATATCGCTGTTTATTTCGAGCTACATGACTCTGATTTTGGGCGACTTAACCGCAAACCGATTGAACAAGTCGACTGGAATAAAGTTTAGGGCTTTTTGCTTGTTCGTGACAACAGGGTACCCATTTTCTTTGGAGAGGGGAATATTGAATGTAGAGTCAGTCCCACCTGCTTCCGGGGAGTAAGTTGAAAAATCATATATGAGCCACAGCAAGACCACACTGAGCTAAAGGTTTGAGTCAACAGTCTCGAGAGTTTATTTCTCTTTAAGCACCTACAGGTAAAGACACGTTTTAATAGAAGGTAATTTGGAAAAGCATCAAATGTCTGTGGAGAAGAAATAAATCTCAAGGACATCCCGGCCACCAACAGGGATTGTTATTTTTGGCTATATTTCGATAGCTTTATGAATCGAGAACAAGAGAGAATATCTGCCAGCATTTTGAAACCTTTCACTTGTAGTCTGCTAATACAGCCGTTTCACCTTGCTCCTCATAGCTTGGGAGGTTTCGCAAGGAGGAGAAACCACCCGCAAACAACGTAATCATATTTACCAACCTGGAACTCGCTGAAGCAGTTCATGAGTCTCATTACCAATGATTCTTACGCCATCTAACTCTTGAACTAAATGAACAGCACTGTCCATCTGATATGTGAAATATGTTAAGAAAGTGTGCTATCTGTAGCATATGCATATTTATAAAAACTGAACCATTGGATAATGCAGTTAAAGAGCTCTGATTGGCTTAGCCATCATGGTATATGAGCCACATACCAAAATTTGAAAATCGGTTCAGACTGATCGGTTGTTCTTACAAAAAAAGTCGGGAAGAATTACCGATATTTTGTGGGCGTTTTTAATAAACAATTATTCCACTCATATCCAACGCGCACTCGTGCTATAATTGTTAAATAGATGGCAATAGCGTGCTCAATTAAAAAAACAGAACTACTCATATCTACAGTAGTAACAATTGTCAGTTCAAATCAAGGGTGTTTTTAGTAACACGATCAATATATAATTGCAGCATGACAGCACAATTACCAACTTGGCCAAGCCAACATTTACAACGACAAGAAGAACAATTTTTAATTCTAGCATGCTCTAGCAGTTAGATAGCTTTTCCCGCAAATAGTTGGAAAGCTAGTCGAATATAAAGAATGATCTTGGTAATCAAAGGATATCTAATAGTGTCCATTGTAGTAACATATGACAGCGCCCATTGCACACCTGTAAGGTAAGTTGAAATAAGTAAAGATCGGAACACACAAGGAGACAAGTTGCAGCAACACGTTGCGGCGACAGATTACTCCCTGTGTATAGGTCAGGCGACAAGTTGCAGCAACACGTTGCGGCGATAGATCACTCCCTGTGTACATGTCAGGCGACTAGTTGCTGCAACACGTGTCGGCGACAGATTACTCCCTGTGTACAGGTCAGGCGATTAGTTGCAGCAACACGTGTCGGCGACACGTCCCTTGATGGGTGGCGGAAGAAAGAAAAACACCGATGGCTCTTAGTTTGAATTCAAAAGAATGACCCGGCCAACCGGGCGAGAATTCGCCATAAAAGACGAGAGCCTTCATTCTAGAAACAACAATTGCTCCCTCCTTACCAGGTTAGTTGCTTGGGTCTTGATGGACAAGACGTGTTGAACTCACAGTAGACTTTCTAAAGAAGACAGAAATACAACAATAATTGCAAAATTCAAAGAACTGCGAAATACAGGCGTACGTAAGTTGAGCTCTTCAGGGCCTGGCCTAGCGGCCCGGGTTGCTAAGCTTCCTCGCTTTGCGGAGATGTCGGCAAGTTAAATGAACACAATAAAAATCAACTTTGCGATCACATGAAAAATATTAATTGTGTTTGCAAGGTTTCCGAGGAAGAAGTGGCTAAACTAAATTAATGATGATATCCCACCATGTAGAACTAAGGCAGATACGGGTCTTTATTTGTCACAAGAAAAGATACCTCAAATCCCAGTAGTATAAACAAAAGCCTTTTTACACGCCTTCTTCAAACCTGGGTATAGAATCAAAGTTAGTACTGCCAGTTGAATTAGACCGCCATTCGTTCTCATTTTCTAAGAATCCGAGTCAACTCGGTGCTAGCTACTGGAACTCGTCCTCTGATACCTGAAATTGCGGGCTGAACAAATGTGACAGTGTTATACCCACCTGTAAATCTGCTGATCCTATCCATAACAAACCAGTGTCTGTAAACATTGCTAGGTATTCATAATTGTAAGATATGGCCATTTCTATTATGGAAGTGACCGGGGCCCCAGCGCTGAATGAAACAGTCTGAAAATTGCATAATATCAAAACTATTCAACAACAACAGTAGCCGGCGAGCATACTCACTAGTGTGACTTCGGGGAAAAATTTGTCAACATTATAAACAATAGAGACTTCGCTATTTCATATTTAAAGTTGTGACACTGATAAAGCCAGGGATGTACAATATTCTCATTGCGACACCTCAAGACACCTCTCTATTTTTCCCCTCGGTTGCTTCCTTCTCCCCGCACCCACTGCTTTGCTACGCCCTGTGCCTGATACAGGATTGGTAAAAAGTAGCAACCTGTCTTACACTTGGCACTCAAGAGGAAATTTACGATGTCGAGACAGCGACAGCAAAGAGAAAGTCAAAAAGGCAACCTGACGAATTTTCGAACGCCTGAAAATTCGAACTTTCACTCGAATTCGCAACAACGATTTTTCGCGCAAGCCGCAACACGGCGTTGCAACATTGTTGCGATATTGTTTCAAATGGTTGCAACGTTGTTCTAACATTGCAACGCTGTGTTGCGGTGCGTCGTCTCCTATAACATCACCTTAACCGTACGAAAATTCAGACGCATAGCCGTTCAAAGTTCCGTGTGAACAGCGAAAAATATTGAACGGTCGTGGGTAAACGATGTGTCCGGTCGAAAATTCTTTAAACAATAACTCTGCACGTGCATCACGCTTCTGGCAAATTTTCCCGAGACGGGAAATTTCCTAATTTCACGTTTTATGGAAAACGTGAACACGATGATCAATTTTTCTCTTTTTCGCTTAGGTGGGGGTAACCCTTCTGTCTATAATTATAATCTCTCATTTTAATTTGAACACGTTTACATGATAGGCAGGGTGACCCACCGCATGTTACCTCACCTATCTGGGGTCCCCCATCTCCATGTAAACAGGCCCTAAAAATTCACCTTCTAGAGAAGTCCAGGAATCGCCTGCATTTGACAAATTATGCGAGTTGGATTCATCGCCATGAAGTTTCAAACAACGCGAATTCTGTTTTTAAGAGACGTTTTCGCCACCGTTGCTGAGTTGCAATCGGTGTGCGAATATCTGCTAGATACACGTTTCTTCAAATCCTGAAACTGCCGACGAAAAGGCAGATGTTGTAAAAAGATGGGAACTTTACAAAAAAGCATATCTCGAGCTTGGAGATATCTTGAAAGGACTGGATTATAAAAGGATGTATCACGATAGCAGTTCTACTGTATACTACAGCTCACCAGTCTATTACACTGTCCCTTTTCTGTAAGGTATAACAGATTATCAATTGCCACTAGCAACGATGAACCTCTGTCATGCGGCATAATGACCCAGCTGCTGGGTGGAGCATCCAAACCTGGTTAAAAAAAATTATGGGTCGGTTATTTAAACGAAGTTTAATTTAAGCCGGGGTTTAACGAATCTTCTGACTTCCAGATCTCTTCCTTAGTGCGTTAAATGCTTTTCTAATCTACTCTAAATGCTTTCACAAAACACTTCACAATAAACGGTGTTTAGATAAAACCGTTGGGCAAATTGAAAAATGGCTCAGAACGCGGTTTTGTTAAACACTGGCTAAACTACGTTTAAATAACTGGCCCTATGTTTCTTAAGATTCATAACTGGTCATTTTTTGCCGTCCGGTTAGCTCAGCTGGATAAGCGCCGGTCTGCTGAGCGAGAGGTCGCTGGTTCAACACACCGGCCGGATCAACACTTAGGCAGGGGTCTTTTAATGCTAAGCAGAAAGTGGTGCCTTTCTAAAGACATCTGCAAACGATTTGACTTTCTAGTTTTCTCAGATAGGGACAGCCCTCAGGTAGTTAGGTGACAGAATTTTAACGAGTTGGGATCGAGAGCAGTTATTGTTTTCCTTGTGAAAAATGTGGCAAAATACACATTTAACTAAGACAGATCATTGTAAATATTTAAGAGAAGAAAGCCTGAAAAATATTCACGCCGCAAAAAAAAAGTTAGAATTCAAGCCCACTTGAAGTCAGTCAAATGCTACAAGGAATAATGCGTGACAAGATTTCTTTATTGCCTGTTGAACAACACTTTAACTCTCGTCAAATTCAAAGTTATCACAAAAGGAAAGTGAGGCACAAGCAGATATTGAGTTCTATGGATCACAAAAGCACGTGAGATGAACATGTAACTTCAAAATAAAACATTATTAATCTCTCTGAAACACTGAACTTTATGATTATTTTTTTTACCGGGTGGGTCATAATACCGTCGACTCCTGACCTCTTCCACGTTGTTTGCAACATAAAAGTGGTAATTACTAGTCAGGATAGCTATGCCAGTCCTTCCAGCAAAATTATAGGTTTTGCAGTCAATAACTTTGGATTCCTTGGCATCCTACAAAATAATACAGATAAAAATTACAAGTTTCGTCTCCTGCACCCAACTTAAAAGCACCAGATCTATGAAGTTGCTGTGCATTTGATAAGGCCACATGCAAAAACGACATAAATACAATGTCTGTTATGGGTTAAAATCATATCCATGTTGATTCTTGATTTCCTTTGTCTCATAGAGTTAATTCACGAATAAATTAGGACTAGGGGACAAAGGAGATAGAGAATCAACCAAGGCTAAAAGCTTTTAACCTGAATTGAAATTTTGACCTGAAACATACACGACATATGGGTAATATTATTCAATGGCTATACCTTTGCTACAAAAAGTATATGTATGAGTATACTCTATTTTTGTACAACCCTTTTAATAAAGTAGCAAACAGTCTATGACTTATGTTTTTGATGATAATATATTATAAATTACATTCATTTTGCTCATAGTTATGGAAAAATTAATGATTATTTAATTTGTCAGAAAATTTATTTACTTGGGGTGGTTAAAGAATTTACTGACATAAGATATGGCATCAATGGGCTAAGATGAGCTTCAAGTTGACTAGAAGTTGTCAAGCTGTGGTGCTTTACAAACATACATGCATCATGTCTTCTTTTTCAGCCTTTTCATGACACAAAAAGATTTAACACTTACCTGTCCCATTGACAAGGTTTTCTTGATTGTGCCATGAATGTCATACACCATTACGGTACCATCATCAGCTACGCAAAGTAGGTCCTCTGTGATGGACCATCCCATCTGAACTATGGGGCCTCCATCCCACTAAGAATAAAAAAGAACACTTGATCAATAGCCTACAGAAGCAGAACATTTCTGCTTTTGTTCTTGTTCCCATGAATTGATGGACTAGTCTTCTTCAGTGCTGTTTTTAGCGTTGTCACGCAACGCTCCTCCCCACAAGGGAGGTGGGTAGGAGCATTGTGTGACAACACTAAAAACGGCTGTGAAGCAGACTAGTGATGGACTAAGATAGATCCATTCTGCCTGCTTCAGTAACCAGTCAGAATATTACTTCATCTTTCCTGCTCACAGAACCAACCATAATTATGATAATACAAGTTCCTGCCCTTTTCCAAAGCAATAACAAAAAAAGTTGACAGTTAGTCTTCTAGCCAAGAACAATATTCACAAAATTTGTCAATATTAAACAACAAGTAGCCTGCTCGGCCTGATCGACACTCCTCTTTGTCTGTGTTCCCAGGTTAAACAACAAGCAGCAGTAGACCTTAAAAAAAGACACATACCTTAACTGTGGCAAGTTCTTTTCCAGCAGAGGAAAAAATGTGAATGATGGGTTTATTAATAGCTGATCCTTGGACTCGAGCAAAATGCTTGTCATCTCTTATCAGAGCTGAAAATTTTAAATACAACAAATACAAACCATTCCTCCAAAAAGGAAATCTCAATGTGGGGGGCTGCAGGACATGTAAATATTTAGGTGTACCGTCCTCACCCCCATGTACAGTTGTGCAGGAGCTGCTCGTAAGGTCTCTTCTTATTGGTTGCAGAAAACAATGACGTCATTCTTTCAATTGTTTCAGTATTGCTTGGGGTCGGGTTAGGCACCATTGGTGTCTTCTATTCTAAGCAGCTGCTACATGATCCTCCATGTATGTAGAAGAGTACATGAGTTACCAGTGGTGTGCATTAGCGATTAAACCTACCGCGGTGCTTAAATCCCAATAATTCCAAAAATACACCACAGGGGCATTAGGCAATTTAGCATGGAGCCCTTCAATTACATATTTTTTTAACTATTACTGACAGTTAAGCATCTAGATACAACACAGCTGGACTGCTTTTATCAATTGCATGTTTTATGCACTAGCTGTTCTAAAATAATAAGAAGCAAGATGTTCTTCAGAGTTGTTTTCTTCCTTTAAACTTTTTTCAGCCAAATCCCTTGACATGTACAGACAGTTGACTGAAACAAAATTCTGGTACAGTATAATGGACCCTTGCTGATATAGACATACAGTATCGTTCAAAAGTAAGTTGACACTTGATTCTTGAGCCTCGCGAGAATTGAGAATAGAGATTCGAGTTGAGAATCGAGACTTGATTCTCAAGACCCATCAAACTGGAATGGCCTTTCTTTAGTTTCGAGTAACTCGCTCTCTACTCTTGATACTCGACTGCCGTGAGAGTCTACAAGTAACAACCTTTGTTCACGTTTTGAGTAATCTTCTAACTTCTCTCACGTCAGAAAAATCTTTGTACTCTATAAAATAACAAACTCTACTCAGCGTTTGATTCTTGTGAGAAATTCCTGAACTATGCAAATAGCAGTTGACAGCTGTCTCGGGAAGAACTCTTCAGGAAATTTGCATTCGTTCGCACGGCTCGTGTGCTACTTTGTGTTGAAACCTTTAAATTGTTCGAACGGCATTTTGCATCATTCAAATAGCAAAAGTTGCCAGTTCACTAGTTAAACTTGAAAAGCAATCCATGACCTTTTGTTTTTAAAATCCAAAATAAAAGGAAGCTTGTGTAAATAAATGTTTAATACGCGATGGTATGTAAACAAAGTTTTGTTGCTTTTGTTCTTCAGCTTGTCTTTCGAATTCTACTTACCAATTTTTTTTCGATTGCCTGTTTGTGAATGCCCATCAGCATTATCGCGGTTGAATGTCTGCTCATCGGTGTCCAAAGTTAGGGTGTTTTTTTGCTGGAAACTTTACTTGTAATTAATTCTGCTTGTAACTTGACCTCTTGACCAGAATTGCTGTTTTTGTGATACGTGCACGTGAAAGCATCTCAGTTTGATATTTTGCCCTTTGCTTTTTATGGGATGTGATTGCGTACATGAAAGTTTTGATTTGAATATACATGCCAGAAAACTTCAGAAACCTCCAAGAGCTTTGAAAACAATTTTTAGTAGCGTATAATACAAACCACTTGCGCAATTTTTCATCACGGTAGCTGCAGTCACCTGCTAGGCAACGAAAAAGTTCACTCGTATCCTGTTCCATCATGGAAAAAAGCAGGCCCAATTTTACGAGCGATTACCTCAAACTAAGAAAGCGCTAAATTAAAAGTAGAATCAAAACCATTGTTTCTCGAAAGTTTTCAAGGATCATGAAGACAATTTCAGAGCAAAAGATTAGTCATGTTACGGACGGACGTGTATGTTACAGCTGATCTTTATCAAGCCAAGCGGCCGATTAAGCCCAGAATCGTTTGACGTTACAAAATAAACGTGCTGTTTGTTTGCATTTGGAGCAGGTATTTGAAACTTTAGTTGAGGAAATGAAGCTTGATACAGATGCCCTTGAAGAAACATTCGCTTTATAATTTGAATTGGTCTTGTTTCACGCATACAGTCGCTTGTGGGAATGTAACCATACCGCAAAATTGTAAAATTACAGAAATCAGTCATGGGTGAATCTTTTGTTTTCTGTCCTGTGAGACTCGATTCTCGACTCGATTCTCGATAGCTTGTTTTCGATTCTCGATTCTCAATTCGCGCAGGAATCGAGAATCGTTAATTGAGTCGAGTATCGAGACTCGCAATGGACTGTCAACTTACTTTTGAACGGTACTGTAACTTACAAATTAATGCCGGAACTTACAGTGCTGTTAAGAGCATTTCTTTGATTCTGGCTCTTAAACGTTTACCATGGTGAGTCCTATTTACCCTACAATAATGAGGGAAATGAAACTTGTACTCCCTGTACATGTTAAACGACACTTAGAATAAGTCTGATGTACTTACCTATTGGACCACCAAAAGGTGCTGCACTCACAATAAACCGGGATAGATCCACAGCATCTTGCCACTCCATACTGTACAGCTCTACTTTCCTGTTCAAGACAAACACATTTTGCGAAGAAAACTTCTGCTGTAATTCAATTATAGATACAGTGTGTACATTTAAAATATTTCTCCATCCCTGACTGATTGGCTTAAATTCCATGGCTGCCCTGGTATTTCTTTCCTGAGCCTGCTGGTTATTTGCCAAAATCGAAAGATGTTTGCTTTGATTTAAAGGCTGATGTCAAAAGTAAAGTCTCAGACTGGAAAAGGTAAAAAAAAGATTACAGGTGCACGCAAGCCAAAGGCCCAAAAAGGCTGGAGCTTATCTCGGCTTCCTTACCATGAAGGATGACTATAGGAGTCTTGCCATTCCCTGTTCCCCCCTAGATGGGATGCTAGTCCATCGGAGGGTTACCCCCTAGCAGTATTTTGCGGGTATCCATTTTTAGTAAAATCCAACTAGTGGTCTATGATCAATGCTGCATTCTGATTGGTTGAGCTTCTACTAGGCTTTATGTTATAGCCCACTAGTAGCGGAAAGCGCTGGCTTTGAAAACCAAAACGATGGCGACTGAATCACATTATGCTAGCTAAAGTTATTTTGTCTTGATAGTTTTGACCAACTAGACGGATTTTACTAAAACAATTATTCCTCTTGCCCTCATGGCCTCTGAGTCAATAGCCCATTCGGCCTTTGGCCTCATGGGCTATTGACTCATAGCCTATTCGGGCTCGAGGAATAATATTGTTAAATACACCTGGGTGAAGAGAGGCAAAGTGGTGTAAAGGTCCTTGTCAAAGGAAACCATTCGAAACGGATTGAAACCATTCAAAAAGGATTGAACCCTGGTCCTCCAGATCTGGAGTTCAAGGTGTTAACCATTCTGTCAGACACACCTCCAAAGTGGAAAAGGATGCACAGAAATCAAACAAAGAAGCAGAGTGATGGTTTGGCTGTTTTGGTGCTGAAGACCAAGAGTAAATGGGAGAAGATTTCACATGTTATGGGTAGATTAATGCCTGAAGCAAGAACACCCTAAAAGCCTGCCTTACCTGCAACCCAGCCACGAGCCCCGTCAGCCACAGCCAGCCCCATCCCAAGCACCCATCACACTGAACTGAGAGTTCAGTGGAGAAATAAGGACCACAATAATACTAATAAATAACAATAAGGGGTAAGGAGGAAGGGGAAAAAACACTAAAACTGAGCAACACTGACCAAAACGCCCTGAACACCATGCACTTTAAAACTACGAGCACATCATGGCAAATGCAGACGCATAAATCGCAATGGAAACCACTGACACAGGGGGCACTGGAAATTATCCTGCAACAGGCCTAGTACAGTAACATGAACCCCGGAGAAAACAAAAGAGCATAGGATAACTTCCAGCTCGCCAAAGCGTACCAATATAAAACCCTAACAAACGTCAACGACACGCCACGCCATTGCGACGCTAATGCCAAGCCAACTACTGAGAAGCTACTGGAGCTCCTCATCGTTAACTAAGTTAAGTAACTATATTTAACCTCATTAAACTTCCTGAACTTCTCCCTCAAAAACTTTGAAATAACACAATTGCAAAAAGACACTGAAAACTACCATTTGAAGAATATCAGCAAGAATATTATATCCCCTCATAATCTGGGACTGGCAAAAAACAGGCAGATGTTTGACTACTGGAATTTTACATAAAGGTAAGGGTGTCTTCAGCTTTGAGGAAATATTTTGAATGAATAATAAAACAATAATAGGTAGCATTTTATAATTTTGAGCCGAGCCAGAACTTGGAGACAGACAGATCTGAAAAGAACCACTTACCTATAAAATACTTTTCCAAGTGGATTCCAATCAACTGTTACGTGAGCCATCTTATTCTCTAAGAGTGAATGAAACGAGTAGCAAGTGTAATCGGGGTAGTTTAACCAGGATCTAATAAGTGCAGCATTTGTAAACTTCTCGTGACCGCAGATCCACCATTTTGTTTTTGCATCTGCACATCAACTGGTCAGCAGATCCTGTAACAAGTAGAAATCCCATGTTTCCAATCGGGTAATAATTTTTTTCGTGTAAGCGTACATGAAAATGCTGGAAGTGTTCAAGATGGCTGTCCCCAAAGCGAAGGGCTATCGGCCAAGATGCTTCTTTGATGTTCAAATAAATGGATCTCCAGGTACGAAACGTTAAATTCCTTGGATTAAATGTTTGCATTGGTTGCTGTTTTTCAAAATTTAATTTATGAAGTCACTTGGGAAGAGAAGCGGCTGAAATTCAGACTATAACTCTCAATAATATGGAAATAATTATAAGCCTATTAAAGCTTATAATATATAGATTTAGCCAGGGCTAAAAGCGAAGCTCCCGTTAATAAATTCATGATTTAAATCAAACAATAAACTTGTAATCCACAGATCAGGGCACATTTTTTTGAATTTTGAGGCAAAGGCTGAGTGATTTTAGAGAAAAATCAGAAATTGACAGTCCAAGAGAGAAACAAATTTTACATCAAGTTATTTGTACACCGAAAAATAGCAATCATGTTCGATCACAGTAGATTAGGCCTGAAAGACAAATATACCTATTCGTGCATTGTATTTGCATTAGCTGTAGCATCATAATGTGGCATTCACCAGTCTCTCCAACATTGCTCCGTTAGAGAGACTATGGATAATTGGACAACCCCGAAATATAACTTTAAGAAACACATGCGCCACGATAGTCCTTGGTGGCAGCCAATTTACACGTTGCATTCCTCTGTCTAAAAGAGAGGCCAAAATAAAAATCAGGCCGGATTTTTTGTGTTCGACAAGTTTAGTTTACTAGTAAATCTTGGCGACGAAACTGGTGGCGGGTAAACCAGCCTTTTAAACATACTTTTTCTCATCAAGTCTCAGGTAAACAGTACACAGACCTCGGACAGAATTTGTTCTTATTTGCCCTATTTAAACCTATAATTCTGCAGTTTTTCACAATTTTGCAAGAGAATTTGCACTCATTCAATATCCACGACGATCAAAGCACGCGCTTCCTTTGCACAACAAATTATAGCATTGAATTATAAAACGTTTTCTGTTAGAAAAATCTGGTCCTATGCGATATGCGGGGTAATAATTATGGGCTTTTAATAAAAACGATTAAAAAAAATTCCCAAAATCACTTTTCGGCCAGCCGGACGGGTTCTCACTTTTGACAGGCACCAAATTTGCCGTGCGATTAATAGAGTTACCATTAAGGCTTCAACATGATAGAGAAATTGTTATGTTTAAGTTTTATTTCCCTTTATTCATTAAACTGTGTATGATTTTGTTATGTGTAATCTTTAAAAGCGAGTGATATTTACGCGCGGCCTTATGTTCGACTGGAAACAACCGGTGCAGCGATGAAAATTGCGAGAGGGACTACTAACAATCAATAAAATAAGTTTAATTCGGTGAAACATGTACAGAGACAATAATTTTCATTCACGAAGAGAAGTATTGATAGTAAAGTGTCTCAGAAAATCATGAGTCAGGCAAGCATAAGCTTATTTATGTTTTAAGCCGGGTTCCCAGTGTTCGCTCTCTTTCAAGATGAACTCGAGGCAAGAAAATCGCTCAGAGCTTTCTGTTTACAGCCAAAATCATAACTAAATAATCTTCGGAACCTTTTCTTTAAATTTGAGGGTCAAAAAATGTTTAAAGGCTTTTTAAACCTGATACTATTGTAGTTTAGATCATTGTTCGTGTTTTAACTTAAGCCGCATAAACCATACGCTCGACTTCAGGAAACCGAAAAAACAAAAAAACATCAAAAACAATAATGGCTCAGGCTTACCAGTCGAGATGCTGCTTCTGAAGTTCATCAAGTGTTCCAGAATCGCCTGAGACTTTTCAACCTTCTTACGCCTCAAGCAAGGGCAAGTGAGTTAGCTCATTTTTGAAAACGATGCCATCCGAAATCGGATTTCCAATGACTTTGACAAGCGGTGCATTTGTCAACAAAAAGCGCAATAAACAAACCAGCCACGAGTTACAGAACAATCTTGATAGCAGCTGTATTTCATTTTGTACACCAAGTAGAAAAAGACAGTTTAAAACATCACAAGATGACACAAAACTCTCTCAGCTCCAGCTATCAGTAAGCAAGTTTCCAGACGCTGCAAAAATTTTGCGCATAAACTCATCTGTCAAATTTTGACCAATCAGAACATAAAAATTGGACGTAGAGCGTGATCAACGCGTGACAGTGAGAAAAGTCAAAAGCGATTGCCTTCCCTGATGTAAATGTAAAAGCCGGTTGAATTTTCGTGTCCGAGATCAGTTCGAAATCAACATTTTAAAAGTGCGGCTAATGAAACACGACTTATTTCATATGCATTTTAAAAAAATTGAACTTGAGCCTGCGATCATTTGAAAAGTAGCAACTTGTCAGCGAATACCTTCAAAATATTACTCGAACTCAGAGGGTCGATACCTGAGCCCACGATACGGTCAGGCGATACTGGTCAGCAGAAACACTGTTTTGACAGCTGTCAATTAATCAAAACATGGATGTACAATATCAGGTTGCAGGCTCCCAAACTAGCTAGAAAGTGTGAGATTAAACATTGGTATGCCTGTGGTGCGGACGGACGAAAGGTCGGGTGGTCAGTGTACGGTCACGTGATTGCCGAATTTTCTAGGATGGATAGATTTTCTATAAAGCTATGGGGCTTCGAATTAAGCCCGTGATCAAATAAAATTTCAGCGCAAAACTTTAAACACTACGTGACCTCAATAGATAGAAAAATGAGCCCGCGATCCACTCGGGTGATAATGGTCAGCGTATACTCTAGTTTGACAGCTGTCAATTAACCTTCATTAGAAGGGCGAATATTCGAATTAACAGACTACGAGTGTGAGTGGGACATTTCCGTCCGGCATGTAGAGGAAAATGATCGTGTACCTGAGCGAACCTGAGCCCTCGTTATTAGTTTTCTGATAGCGGTCTGTACATGTCCCATTTTGACAGCTGTCAATTGACCTTAATTTGGCCGGCCAATGTAACTTTAAACGACTGTCAGCCAACTGACAGCCTTGCCCGGCGTAGTTTCGTTTTTATGTTGAATTGGTAAGTGTGACATATTATATCAGGTTATATATAGGGGCAAAACGACTGGTCTTTTATCTGAGCCCGCGAGACGGTCATGTGATAATTGTCAGCGGATGTCTGATTTTGACAGCTGTCAATCTAATCGTATTCATACGGATGGCTTACATAACTAAGAGGCTAGTCAAGCTGTGCAAGATCTATTGTGACATTTGACATCGGCTTACATGAAGTGTGTGTACGGACGGGCGTACGCTACGTCATAACCAAATTTTCTGGGATGGATAGTTTACCAAATTTTCTTACCCATGGTGCTCCGCTGCGCGCGCGCTTTGCGCGCGCGGGAGCTCCGCTATTAAGTTTAATATAGCAGAAGTTTGATTCTTTGATTTTAATCAATTTCTATAATTTTAAACTTAAATCAATATGGCTGTGCAGTATTGGTTATGAATGTTTACTTCTCTTGATTAATGATGTGAGCCTTAATGTGTTAACACTGGGATAATCTAATCTTTTTTATGGATTATTTTGGCTAATTAATTTAAATCAATAAGGTTTCCAATGAGCAACCTCAGTCTGCTTGTAAGATAGAAAGAGGAGTAGGTGGGTAGAAAGGAAGACTGGTTTGAAAGAACTTCAAATCTAAAACTCTTAAATTTTGCTTGATTTAAGAATCAATTTTGCATTCTTTGTAGCTGGCAGGATTATTTTTGAACTGTTTGCTGACATCTGTCCTAAGACATCTGACAACTTTAGAGCATTGTGCACAGGTAGGGAAGTAGGTATTAATGTAGATACATGTGCTACCACTGCCACTACCAACTATTATATTAATATTAATAATAATAGTAAAAATGATCATGATAGTGTTTTAGAGTTGAGATCAGTTGATGCGTGGTTGGCCATATACTCACTCGTAAGTGGGATGGAGTCATAATATTAAATTCATGGTCACTTCATTTTTTTCTTTATTTTACTAGTGCATACATACATACACACATACATACATTTTATTTGTATTTTAAGATTGAAGCACTATTGTAACATACCCCGCCTTGGGTAGCTATGCTAATCTAGAGGGGTCCTGTTTTCAGGAAACAAATACAACTAAAAGTAATAACAGTGTTACAGATAAGAGATGGGTCTCGTGTCAATGACGCGACAAATAAGGCTTCCTGACCCAACAGATGACGTTTAAGTATTACACTGTAAGTTTAATATAATGAAAAAATTTAGCAGGTGGTCTTGGTGACCCCTCTGATGGTCTACATGACCCCCCTCTTGAAATAATTAACTGGAACACTGAATAAGAGGCCTAAAAAAATGCCAGAATTGACATAATGACTGGAGACTACTGAAAAACTGATGCAATAGTACATAGTGTTATGAAATTGCTGAACTCTTAAGGAAATTAATGGCTATTTTTTTAAGTGATAAATGTGACATTTCATGGAAACTTTAGACAAGATTTTTGGGATTAACTTTGAACCTGTTTTTTTAGGAGAAAAAGGTTTAAGCAGGACTTCTGGGAAGGCTCTTCACTATAAAGGATCAGGGTTCCATCGAGTTATCAAGGATTTTATGATTCAAGGAGGAGACTTTACTAAAGGTACTTTTATTTTTATATCAAGATGGTAAATGAAAAGGCGCACTTAAGCTAAAGGCTCAGATGGCCGGAGCTTTTCCTGGTTTCCTCAGCATAAAGCATGCCTAGGAGTATTGCTACCCCCCTCCCCCTCACCTTGGACATAATCGCTGGGTTACCCTCCAGCAGTATGTCACCTGTGCCCATTTATACACCTGGGTGAAGAGAGGCCGAGTGGAGTAAAGTTCCTTGTCTAAGGAAACAATGCAGTGGGTGACTTTAAACCACAGACCTCCAGATCCAGAGTTTGAGGTGTTAACCGCTTAACCACACATATCAAGATGGCTCAAATGGACTTTTCAGAGTTAGAGCCTTAAAGGGAACCTCCACTCTTACTACAGAATAAGTTTTAATCGAATAAAATTATGTTGATAAACAAATTTGTTCGAAATTTGTCTTAAAAAAAGTGTTTATATCAGGAAAAGTGAATTTTAAAATCGCTTATTTTCACTTTCAAATTTCGCGGGTGCCGCCATCTTGAATAATTGTGACGTGTTACGGTTGCTCTATTGTTCTGACACAAAGAGCTTTTGTTTAATAACCATAGGACAACCATTACACGTCACAATTATTCAAGATGGCGACGCCCGCAAAATTTGAAAACAAAAATAGGCGAATCTAAAAGTTATTTCTTTCGGATACAAACGCTTTCTTTAAAAATATTTTCGATTGACTTGACTGTAACAGTTATTTCCTGTGATTTAAAGTTATCTTTTTGTTGAAGTGGAGGTTCCCTTTAACTATTGTCATTAACAAAGATGCTGGAAAACAGTCTCCTTTAATAGCTGTACTATTACGTAGGAATTTGTTGTGACTGATGTTATTTTGACACAAGAGTTTTCATCACAATGTGTAAGTGGCTTGTAAGTGTGCCTAACTGTAGTTTTTGCAAAAGCAGTTGCGGATTGTTGCAATGAAACCTTTTTTTGATGTATAAACGGTAGGTTCTATATCTTTACTTACATTGATAAGATCTTTTTGTGAGAGTTGTGAGGGAGAGGTTTTGTAACAAGAACAGCAGTTTTTCACAGAGTTTTTAAAAGCTACTGACTATTAACACCTGAGGCAAGGTGCTTGTTACTTTTCATTTGCGTATCAGATATTTTTTTGATCTGTAAAACATGTACTACATCAGTCTTCTAGGTAACACTAAGCAAACTTTTTCCTTGGTTTCTCACTGGATGTGTGTCAATAATTTTTTGCCAAAAATTGCCGCTTCAATGATTCTTGCACTACGCGATTCTAGTAGCGTGATGATAATCACATAGTCTGCGACAAGATTCTCATTGCGCAGGAAACGAGACATGACTGGTAACTTACTTTTGAGCGGTACTGTTTGTCATGTGCTGTACAAATCATTCTTTGCAACCCTTTGATCAATTAGAGCATGCATTTAAAATTTGTGACGTGATAAAATAAATTATAATTTTTCTATTATTTTGTCTATCACAGGAAATGGGACTGGAGGAGAGTCAATTTATGGTGGCACATTTAATGGTTTGTAGCTTCACAGTATTAATCTCAACAACAGGACGTGCACTTAGAATCAGATTTGTAGTTGTAAAAATTGAAGAAGTGCAATAATGAAGATCCAAGGGACTGGCGAAATATGTTAATGTCTCTGATCCTTTACAATGCATGTTAAACACAAAGTAATTTAATTATTAAACAAATAATGAGAAGTTGGCCTTAAATGGGGGAGCACTGCCTTGCGCTAGGTTAGCCTGTGCGACTTCCAGCGATGGCGTGACCAAAGAACCTCACTTATCTCCCTAGCACTACGAGCGTACCGGTTTGCAGGCAATATTATTAAACAGCAATGCAGCCAACAAGCATGGGGGAAGTCACTCCACAGACTTAATTGCACCTCCAAGGAGTGTCTCTAGTTTATTTGATGGCATAGCACAAAACAAAGCCCATACCTTGATCGTCTCCAAAGGGAGGGAGGGAAAAATTTTACACGATTAGTATACTGAGCACTTAAACCTTGCTGAACAATGGAACCCAAGTGAACTCTGAACAGTTGTTCTTGGCTTTTATAGCCAGACGAATGTCTGCTGGCATAGCCAGTAGAAAAGGCTGTACTACAAGACCACTCAGCATTACACATGCACACTCTTAGCCATGAATAGTGGTTTCAAAATACTGGCCAATGCTGTGGCTCGTAGTAGCCTGCTTAAGACAAGAAGGCCGTAAAGTTCTACACTAGAATAAAATGCATCTTAGAGCTTGCTGAACTTGACAACTACATTTTACTGGTGTTATTTTCCATTATTTTACTATTACTGGGTTTAAAAGAAAATCGTTCATTGTATCGAGGACTTCATTATATCAAGGTTCTACTGTTCTGCAATGACTCTTATCTCAGGGCTGTGGCTAAAATTTCAAGTTGCTGGGTAAATGCAGTTACTAGAAGGGGAATTGTACTGAGCTGTGTAGGAATTAGTTCTTTTGGTTCTGTTTTCTTTTTGTTTCCTATAAGAGAAGCCAGGGCTTACACCCATAGTACCCAGGTAAAATCCCCGGCCCCCAGCTCATAGTGACAGCCCTGTATCTTCCACTGAACTTACACCTCATGCAAATCTGTGTCTTACAATTTATTATCTTTTACACAAGACGTTCTCAGCTTTTGATTGGTTTATATTAATCTGTCAGCTAATAATTCATCTTGCTCATGATGTGGAGAATGAAACAATGTTATGCAATATTGGATTATGTAATAACATTACAGATCTCAGCATTTAATGACACTCTTATTGATCTTCATTTAACTATAACAGTAAAAAGGGCTTAATTTGCTTACTGATACTAAGCAAATTACGCCCTTTTTCAGGAAACCCTTAATTTATTATTAATATTATAAAGCTGATCTAATAGTGTATATTTTTAACTGCTTATCTAATTAATATAATTATGAAAATAATTAAGTTTTTTGTTAACTGGGGCTGAAACTTATGAGAAGTACAAACATGTAATTGTGATAACTGCAGTGATTTGTTTGTCATATTAAGTTTTTCATTTTTTTTGTTTTCCCTATAACAGATGAAGGATTCCCTCTTAAGCACGAGACGGCAATGTTGTTGTCCATGGCTAACAGAGGTCCTAACACTAATGGTTCTCAGTTTTTTATGTAAGTATTTGATCTTTTAAGAGATAGAAACCACCCTATAAATTTGAAACCAAGTATAAAATTCAACTGCATCATGCATGTAGATGTGTAGTATAAGTCAGGTCCTGATCACTCAAAGATTGGATACATGTAGTGCTATCCACTGTATAAATATTATTAATTATCACTATGGAGTGGTTAGAGTGTCATGAAATCCAATTGCCTTGCCCTCTGGATAGTAATTTACCTGATGAATAGCGTTACCCACCTTCTGAGAAACTGGCCACTGTTAACTTAATTACGCTGGCAAAAATGGTTCAGTTCTTTTTTAATTTCCTGCTGTTGTCTAATTTTCCCCTCCTTTAATTCTCAATTCCTTCCTTTTCTCAAGGCCCCAGGTTCAAGTTTAAAAGAGGGTTTATGTTCTTCAATGTATCAACTTGATAATATTAATCTCTATCCAGTCGTTGATCCAGTTGTTTCCCTAATTAATGTTTATCCACTGGATATTAATTTATCTGCTAAATAGAACCTGATCCAAGGAGTGAACAACTTGGGCCAGATTTCAGGTCTTCCAACTGGCATCTCTGTGATACATAACAATATTGTAGTGTGAATAAAGACAAAGTTTTAATGTTTTAAGTTTTTATAGTGTGTTTATTTTGCTTTTCACAGAACAACTCAGCCTGCCCCACATCTTGATGGGTAAGTTTTCTTTTAACTTGATTCAGCTGTTATTACTGACAGAAAGGAAATTTCTGTTCGCATTACGACATTATTGATACTGACAAGACAGTGTTTCACATGGTTTTATTGTTTCAATTTCAATACACAAATAAAAAAAGGGCATCAAATATTGCGATATTATTTTTCAAACATCTGAATTTTTAAAAGATATCAAGATAAACTGTAACGAACAAAATGCATATTAACATTATTCCACAACAGAATAAAAATTACCAGTAAAACTAGTTAATAATATTATTTTGTTGTCGATACACCTAGGCTCTACAGTACAAACAGCTGTTGTTATTAAATCTTAATTGTTTTTATATGATTTGAATTTTCTATGGGTATTAAATTAAAATTTTGCATGTTTTCTTTTCGTGAGGATATTTATTGGCAAAAACAAATTCGTGAAATAAAAAAGATGCTAAGTTAAGTAATGAAATTGTACATGACTTGTATACATATGCATTTTTGTTTGTTGCAGTGCCACTCAAAAGCAAGTCACAGATCAATGATTTCCCACACTTCAACAATGTTGCTCTTGCTTATATTGTGGTATATTTATTTTATTTGTAGGATTCATGTGATATTTGGCCAAGTATTGCAAGGTCAGGAAATAGTGTCAGAGATAGAGATTCAAAGAGTTGATGACAAGAGTAGGCCCCTAGTGGATGTAAAGATTATTAACTGTGGTGAACTTATTCCAAAAGCAAAGGCTAAAGGTACAGGATATGTCTCCATAGACTAAATTTATGTACAGAACTGTGCTCTAGCAGCAGTGCTGCCCGCTGACCCCTGGCATCATACTTTAGCTCTTGGGTGATGTCTTACTGTTATTTGTTAACTTTCAGCTGCAGAGAAGAAAGCCGAAAAGAAAAGAAAGAAATCTAAGCGACATTCTGACAGCAGTTCCTCAGATACTGACTCTTCATCCAGTTCTGGATCAGAATCAGACAGTGATCAGTCATCAATTGATAAGCAGCAGAAAAAGAAACGCATAAAAAAGAAAAGAAGAAAAAAGATGAATGAGTCTGTAAAACGCAAGGACAAGAAGAAAGCAAAGAAGAAAAAGAAAGAAATAAAAGACGGGTAAGGGGCTGTAACTACACCACTGTACATGGAATAAAAATACATCAATACACAAACATTTAATAAATACACACCGGTACAAAAAATGCAAATATGATAATTTTGAATACTGTGAGTAAAATAATTAATGACTTAATTAAAACATGAATGCATATACATATAATGTCAAAAATTAACATTGTTTGCAAAAAGTACGGCATTCATTAATTCATTCATCACACTCAAATGACAACATGTACATGTAGATAGATTTAGTTGAGTAGCAAAAAGCACTGATAGAGCCACTGTGCCGAGTGCAGAGCATAACCATGGCAACCAACATGTTGAATTTCAAAGATGTTGAGTGAGTAAGGGCAAGTCAAAGGGGTCAAAGAGGTCAAAGAGGTTAGGGAGAAAGTAGCCTGTCATAGGAAGCCTTTTTTTGTGGTTTCAGAGTAAAGAAAGACGAAGGAATGTCATGGAACAGGATTTTTGGTTTTGGCCGCAGCAAAAAAGGAACAAGAGCAAACTCTTGCTATGCAGGCTAGGGAGAAAGAAGAGATCACAATATACATGTATTATTTTTTCTCTCATACCCCCCCCCTCGCCTCTTACTACCTTTTTCACCCCACACCTACCCGAGGGTTGCTATTTCTACTCTGCCCTGTCTTTCTCAGTGATCAAAGATGGCAGCCATGGCAATGCAGACAAGCCGTTTTTGCCCACCTAAAAATTTGGCTGCATTGCTGGCTTGCCTGAGAGTACTTACACATACCTCGCACTAACTCACGGTTATCTTAACCCAGCTTTGAACAAACAGGGCCAAGTAAGTGATAAGAAAAGGAATCTGTGGCTACATTTGAGGTCCCATATTACATAATAATGTTGCTTTTACGTCCCCTTCCCTGTTAGTGAAATATTGACACTAATATTAGCAATCAATTTGAATTCCAGTCCAGGAAATGATAAACCAAAGAGTTCTGAACCTTTTAGTTCAGTGGCTGTGGATGAGATCCCAGATGTTCCCAATAATTCTTTTCTGTTGAGAAGAAGCCACACCCCCTCCCCTGTCAGGGAAAAGAGGCTTCAGCAGGCAAAAAATAGGTATGTTTCCTCTGAGGTACACCTGACCTTAATCATTTCTACGAGAGTTGGGCTCATTCCCTTTTCGGTGCATAATTATCGTGAATTAGGATTTTTTGAGCATGTAAGTCCATACTAAATTTGCAATGATAAATTTTGCCCAAGGCAAAGCTCTTTCTTTGTTCAAAGCTCTGAGGTATATACTAATAAAATTAATTGTGACATACAAAAGTACTTTGGAATGGCAACACAACTAGATTTCATCCACAGACTCAAAACTAAGAAGTGCATTTCATCCAACGTGCCTGATTACACACTAAGGAAATGGTACCATGTGAATTACTACTGACGGAAGAGGTTTCATTTGAATGGTCACACCATAGGATTTCATCCACAGACTCAAAAATTAAAACTACATAGTACCATGTGATAGCACTGCTCAATTGATTCTGATGGCAAATGGTTCAGAAAAAGTTGTTCAGATGTTGAGAGATAGATGGCAGCAGTATCTTCAAGTTGTTTATATTATTTTCTGTTTGTATGACCACAGGAAAAGTAAGTCTCCTCCAGGGTATAAAGCTCCGCCTCAAAGTAATTCACAGGAAAGGACCAGGGTATGTACACCTGCTGAAATGATATTGTTTGGGAGATCAGTAGACCTTATTTCATTGTATCCACCATCTTCGCATGCACTTCGGGACTGATTAATCACGTAACATCGCATTTATCCCATCAACCCTTGAACGCGTGCAAAGATGGTGGTTGTTGTGAATAAGGTCCATATCTTTAACAGAAAATATCCACAATTATTAATAAAACAATTACATCCGAGTCTCTTGGTTCTTAAAATGAACCTCGGATTCTGTGGGTAACTGTTTGTCTTTCTTTTAACACAGTTATAAAACTTTTTACCCTCTATCATTTATCTCTGTCTGTTTTTCTTATCCGCAGGTTTCCAGGTCAGGAAGGATTCTACGAGGACGAGGAAATATGGTGAGGAAATTCCCAGGGTATTAGTTTAACCTTTCTTACGAGAAAAACAATACACCATGAGAAAAGGAAATCACCAACTAATGAATCATTTACAAGCGGTCAGGAGACAAGACAAAGCAAAACACATCTCTGAAAACCCACTTACAGTGTACCCCCTCCCCCTCCCCCCCCCCCTTCCCCCTTCCGCCCCTCTAAGCAAAGAGCCTGGCCCGAGGCTACTCCATCGGTTTGAAACAGAACTTAATCACGTGATTTTTATTTTTCAGCGGTATCGCACACCCCCGCCTTCTTCTCCGGATGAAACGCGGAACATTTCGCGCCGTTTTTCTCCACCTTTGGTGGCTCGGTCAAGGTCTCCACGCAGGCGTACAAGGTCTCCTATGCGTCGTGCACGATCACCATTTAGACAGTCGAGGTCTTCTCGAGAACGTTCTAGATCTCCCCGTCGACGCTCGAATTCTCCTCGCAGACCCCCGATGTCTTCTCGAAGACGCTCGAAGTCTCCACAAAAACAATTAAATTCCTCACAGAGACGCTCGCTGTCACCTGAAAGAGCCCCGATTTCTTCTCGACGACGGTCGACGTCCCCACGAAAACACTCAAATTCCCCACAGAGATGCTCGCCGTCTCCACGGAGACACTCTGGGTCTCCGCGACAACGCTTGAGGTCTCCACGAAGACATTCGAAGTCCTCACGATCACAGTTACTTCAGAGAACAGATAGCAAACAGCATATGAAAGACCGTGAATCAGCGGAAAGAAAAATGAAACAGAGCTACTCAGGAAAAGATGGTAAAAGCAGTGATAAATTTGCAACAGTTGAAACACGAGGTGAAAGGAACTCAAATGATGAAAAAGCTAACGAATGTTCACGTACAATTGAAGAGCGCTTTCCAGAAAGGCGACGGGAAGAAGAGGAAAAGACCTTTGCAAATGAAGGCTATGCAAGGTCAAAGTTTGCTTCAATCAATGAAACTGGCAGACACAGGAGAGGAGAAAAAACTAGCAGTAACAGCGACAGTGAGGAATTTGAACAAGAAGGTTGAGACATTTTGTAGAGATTGGAAAACCATAGCCATCTTGCGCATAAAGAAGACACCAGGGACATACGGAAACCAAGTTCATACTTGAACGGTGACGAGCAGACATGGAGAAGCTTAGCTCGTGATTATGAGTTTGAAGAAGGTCATGGAACTTTGGAGGCACAAAGTTATGCACCCATTCCATTAAGCAAAGAACGTGAAAATAACCGAGAACGTCTACAATCTCGCGGTAAAAATAACGATGAACAGATTTCTCCAAACGAAGAAAGCGCAGGCAGTGAACAAGAGGACAAACGAGCTTTCCTTCAGGGTGAAGGAAGGTTTAAACATCAGGGTATCTCAGAACGTAAAACTGGTCGTCAACAGCGCAGTAGGAGTTTTGATAGACGCAGAAGCAGCTCTCAGGAGAGTGACCGGAACCGGAAGTCGCGTCATCACCATCGTCGTCATCATCATCGTCATCATCATCATCGACACCATCATAAAAGAGACGCGAGGCAATCGGAAAGAAACATTGTCGTGTTCGAGAAAGATCAGGACAGTTCAAGTGACTGACTTAACTGCTTGTAAACTTCTCAAAGATCGGTGAGATCGTGAACGTAAACAGCACTTCAATTTTCAATGTACAATATTTTGTACGTTTCTCTGTAGGAACAGTCGAAAACGACACTAAAACGTGCAAAAGGAAGTTATGTCTTGAGACAAATAAGAAACGAACTCACATCCGTTCAAACTTTTTCCAAGTTTTCCGAAGCTTTAATTCAAACCCCTGTCTAAAGAGAGAAGAACAGGCATTTATTCATGACTTATCCTTTAACGACATATTTATTGTCTTTCATACTTGCATCAATTTTCCCTTTTGGTGGCTACTTATCGTAAACTGCCGCTTCTACATCTTGGTAAGGGGTTTTAGGAGGGTTTATAAACGGAGGGGCTTACATCCGAGGGAGCTTATCACAAGACTAGAAAACGCTTCGAAGCAATCTACAGAAGTGCTAGTCAAAATAATTTTGCATTTACTGGTTTTAACTAAGCGTCAAAAGGTCATAATAAATCGAATTCATTTCAATACATTTTGGGGGGTGGGGATTATAATCGGATGTATTTTTTTGTTGACGGGTTGATGGGTCTATAGTTGGTGGGGGGCTTTATAAGCGGCTTGTTGCAGTATATCCAGGATCGAATCCTAATGTGATGCACTATCCTTATGACAGCCATCACAAAGTGTCCTAATGAACAGAACATCATCAAAATACTTGTAATTCGATCAAATATGAAGTAGTGTAAAAATGAGAAAGAACCCAGTCAAGTATGAAGTATTTTAATACAATGTGCGTTTAATCTTAGATATATTAACTAACTCTTAGAGCTGATTTTGTGTTGTTACGCCGCAGGGGGCTTGGACTTCTTTGAAGTCCTTTAATACACATGTACAGGCTCTTGATATGTGATATTGACCAAGCGTGAGATCAAGAAGGCTGGATATTGATCAAGTTCTTGTTTCGCATTCACGGATCAAAAAAGACGATAATAACAACGCAAAGAAGAACGAGGAGGCCAATATCCAGCCATCTTGACCGAACAAGCTGGGTCAATAAAGGATTTATTTCATGGCCAAAAAGATATCGTTTTCTTGCTGGACCAAGGCGGAAAATGTCGAAAGGCAAGATGGGCACATCTTTCAGGCTCAGTCGAGTAGCCAATCAGTACACAGGTTCGTGTCATATTGCCGGCTCGCGGAATCAGCCATGCTAATAATCCTTAAAATAGCCTGGGTGCTCTGTTGCTGGGGGTGCATCGTTTGCCTGTTTCTGTCAAAGCAATCCAGATTTTTATTTGCGTGATCAACTTTTCAACACGCAGTATAAAACGCCGTCGGAAAGTATCAAAATTCTTTCCTGTTTTAACGTCTCCGGGGAGTTTTATTAACCTGTGGTTAACTGTCCCAAAATCTTTAAGGAATGGTAAGCAAGCAATATTCCGAAACCGCGTTATTTTGATTGTGACCTAAATCATAGAAATCTTTTGACCCATAAAAGGGTGTCGCCCGTGTCTATTTATATCAACATGCTATAAAGCCAGAAAATACAATACACTGTTTTCTAGCTTCTGGCTAAAATTTTTCGTAACTGCGCTAGGCCCCAAAATTCCTGCGCTTTCTGGTGAAAGCAATCCCGGTTAACTCTGAGAAACTGGCTCCAGTTGTTTATCCACCGGAAAAGCCGTTATCCAAAGGACATAAAGTATTAGGGACACCAACTGCACTATCCGTTTGATACTGAGATTTATCCAGTGCATAGCTTTAGTCACCTTTTGAACGACTGGGGCCTGGAGATTAAACACAAAGGCGGCAAATTCGTTTTGCAGGAAAAAATACACATTTTAATGTCAACAGTCTTTGATGGAAAAATGCTAAAAGAAAGAAGCCAAGAAAATAGGGACCGGAGAGTGGAATGCAAGGTGGAGGAAGCGGAAGGACTGGACCCCTTGTTTCCCTCCAAAATAGAGTGTAATTTTAAAAATAAGCAGCGAAATGGAGGTTTAGGGAACACGTCAAATGTCAACAGAATGTTTGATGGTGTAAATGCAGGGAGAAGGGGCTACTCACGATAAGGTTTACATAGTTTTATACATACCATTTTCACTGAAAAGGTACCTCTTTCGTATACAGTTCCATTGAAAATACTACCCGGCCTTTAAATGCCTACCTAATAAGACTGAATCGCGAAGACAGGAAGTCTATATGTCATTTTAGAGTGACGTTAATGTAATAAATGAAAATGTTTGTAACCTTTTAGACCTTTTATTTACTTCAACAGTGATTTCCCTGTCTTTGATAACCATTAATTTAAGGCTCAAAAAACCGGGTACCTCTTTTCAGGCAGAACCTCCGGGTATAAGCTATTGTAGGAAGCCCCTAATCCCCCTTAGACTGGTCTCACGCTTGCTACTAATTCTAAAGCTAAATGTGGGACAATTTTCTAGCTTTGCTTGATGAAGACCTGAATGAAGAAGAAAATAGTATTGCACAATTAAGTTTAAATTTGATTTCAAGTCGATTGTCTAGTGAAGTGACTGTAGCTGCTCTGTACGGGTGGCATACAGTAAAAACCCGCAAGTAAGAACCTGCATTTTTCCAAGTTAGCCCAAACAAGTTGTTACAGAAATGGTAATTAGCACAAATTTGGGCTATTTAGGTTCTTATTTTCTAAAGAAAAAATAGATTATAGCTAAGAGTTTTTAGTGGTATTCAGCTTATTCTATAATAAAATCTGCATGCCATTACATTCAGCTGTACATTGCAGTTGGACGCGTAATTCTCCAAAGAGGATCTTGATTGCTGGCTTATCTCATTTGCTCAATCTTACTGCGTTTCTTCTTATAGATTTTAGAAAATAAGAACCTGTTTCAAATTTTAGGCTTAACAGGCTCTTGTATAGAAGGGGCCTAACTGGTAAATCTAGCCTAAAAGGTTCTTAAAAACAAGGTTCCTAAGCCGCGGATTTCTACTATATCTCAATACCTTTTCCGTGAAATTTTCACATCATAAAACTAAATTCCTAACAGCATCTTTTTACCACTACGATGGAGACCGAAACAGGAACAGCTGAAAACTAATTAATAAATGGGTTTGTTTTAGGAGCGGATGTTATTTCCACGGTTGGTCGATAATTTTTTGATAATTATAAGACTAAAGAATGACTTGATTGATCGAGGTCAGTGACTATTCAATTCCTTTGCAATGATTTAATCACGTCCCCGTCGATATGATCAAGTTTTTATTTTTCGTACATTTATATCAAGTTTTTTTTACCCAAAACAAGCAAACACGTGTTTCACTGTAGGACACACGAACGCGGAATTCACTGGAAACTCAAAAGTTGTCGACAGAGAAATTATGATTAGTAATTCACTTGAGGTACAATCATTAAAGTGTAACGACGATTGTTAACTTCTATCTCACTTGGGGACTGAAATCAACATTCATTAATATAACTGGCGCTAGATATCAAAGAAGCCATCAAGGGGAATGAAACTCAGTTAGGATATGATGATCTGTGCCTGTTAAGTCTTCCGCTTTTTATGGACTCACTGGGCTTACATAATAGTCTTTTAAGTTAATTGTTAGTCTTTCTTCCATTCAATAAATGTTATCTTTGTCATTAGTGAGTCAGCAAAAACACAATGGCCAACGCGGAATAAAAACAAAATTCCAAGAATATTTTTGTCTGGATGACTCCATAAAAGAAAATAGTGGACAGCTAACAGTCAGTGAAGTTCAGCACAGTTAACGTTCTTCGTCACCATTTAAACGCGCAGTCTATTCCCATTTAGTCCGGCAGCCGGGTAAATTCTTCAATACATGCAGAGCAGGTAAGGACGAGAACTCTATCTAAAAGTCTTCTTTTTTTTTTATAAACATGTATATCTCGTAGTTTCTGATCTGACTAGTCTTAGCAAACTTTAACGAGTTACTACTGACTGAATTTATTCATATTGGATTGAAGTTTACTTTCCAACTTGAGTAGCTTTTGGGGGAAGTTGTATCTCTTAGCTTTATCATTAATAGTCTGATATCACTTAACTTGTGAAATAGATAGCAGACACTTCTTCACAGTATTACAGTCTAATTTCATTACTTTCTTTTGCTTAGTCGTAAACTATTGAGCACTAATTGTTACGAGATACTACGTGTTACATAAAATCACTTGATCAAACTATCTCGATAACTATCGGCAATCGCAAGTTTCTTTTTTCCTATAAATTCTCTTCTGTACCTGCCCGAAGTCTGACAACATTTATTACCGTCTTTAAGCTGGGTCTTCAAGTCACCCACATTTTACTGAAGCACAAAGTTCTATCTTAAGCAAAGCAAAATTTATGCCTTTTGGGAGCAACTACACAGTAAATAAGGCCATGTATGAAGTCATTAGTAGGGTTGTGGATACACTAGAATTAAGAACGATGAAGGAGTTATTTTTGGTGGCCGTCAGCGGGCTTTTGTTGTGGCTCTTCTACTCAGCAGTGGAGCTGAGGACTTGTTTGTTGTTTGTATACTGCGAAAAAACAAATGAGCCAAACGAACCGCTCGATGCCTGATGAAGTGTGCAAGTGGCCCTGCATTCTATCCGTGAATTTAAGCCGAATTTCGAGTTGGCAAGCATAGAAGTTAAGAAAGATGACAGATTTCTACTTGGAATAAAGAGTTTAACAGTAGTTCTTTCAATTTAACTAAAACAGTATGGAAATTCAGTTGAGAATCACCTTTGGCCCAAAATAACAGAAAAAATATCTCTGCGTAGGAGCTTATTGATTTAGATATATCAGTTCATTGAAAGCACTGAGTCGTATATTATCTTAAAGTGTATTCAGGGCACAACTGACTGGAAAGGTCTCAGTGAAAGAGTTCATTGAGGGTGGTCTTAACGTGACGGTAGTTAAGGAGCGATGACCGGGTATCGAAATGATTCTCCCTAAGAAGGCAATTGAAATTCGTTACTTACATCGCTCGCCTTTCAGTTTGGAGAAAGACTAAGTTTTTTGAAACAGAATAATGTTGAAATTCTAAGAGTGAAAACGACCATGATCCCGAAAAACGTGCCTCGCTCACGAGGAAGGAGCTGAAGGAGCAAAGGATGAGTACGAAAAGAATCTTCAGTATAATAGTTAGTTTTATACCAACTCATGCCCTTTAAACTCAGAAAGTTCGGAGTATAAACCGCAAACCAAACATTATATTAACAGGGATACAGTCATGCAGTTTTATAAACTTTGTCAATGTTATGTCAAGTCTCTACATATTTGTATGATAATTCTGAAACTGACTGAAACGCACCAACAGCTGCATATAATATTACGTGAAATCACTGTATGGCACATTACGTTTTCCAAATCAGAACTCGGGAAAAAATATCTGAATTTTCTTTCACATTGCCCTGAAATAAACAATTACCCCCATAACTAAAGCGAATAAACCCTGAAATGTTAGTCAAGATATAAGTATGAAGCGTTCGCCGGGTTGTAGGGCCCCTTAGTTTTTCAATTCAGTAAATTGATCTCACGCTTGCCGGTCTTTCTAAAACTAAACTTGGAACGAAAACTTTTTTCAATAGCTTTGCTTTAACACCTGATTGCAGAACAACAGCACAAGCTGAAATTTGATTGCAAGTTTTTCAGTAGGAAAGTGTTGTTATATGTGATTTCCACGGTTGGTCGAATATTTCAAGGATGAAGCTCAAATAATTGAGCGTCTTGTCGCGATACCTCACTTATTCCCTTTACATGACATTTTCGCTAACAAAACTAAAATCCTAATAGTTTCATTTTACTACTACTAATGAAGCGATGGAGACCGAAACAGGAAAAAATACATGCATGCGTAGCTTCAAAACTAATTAATACTAGCAGATTTGTTTTAGGAGCGGATGTTATTTCCACGGTTGGTCGTTTTGAGTTTTAGTAACTTTTAGACTTAAGTATGCGACTCTGATCGAGGTGACTATTCTTTAGTTTGTTAATGATTCACTAATGTCCCCGTCGATATGATCAATTTGTCACTGAGAGCAACTCACCACTACTTTTCATGTCTGCGATTTGAAATCAGGTATTGGTAAGCCGATCTTACTGTTTGTTTCATGCTACCCCGCTTATTTCAAGCACATAAGTACATGCATGTTTAGCTCTGATTTAGTCTAAAGGGCCCAGTTGCTCGAAGCATGGTTAGCGTTAACCAGCGTTTAATACCTTGACAACGTATTGGTTTTGATACTGGTTAACCAACGGTTAAAGCTAACCATGCTTTGAGCAACTCAGCCCAGAAAATTATTGGCCAAACCTAAAACATGTACAGTTTAAAGAGAAATTGTTAAGTTACCAAATATAAAGTTACAATAATGATGAATCTGTCAGGGTTTATTAAGAAAGTCAGTTTTAGGGCTTGCCATTTGGACAAGTTTTACCGAGCATATGCTAGCCCAATAGACACTTAGCAAACTTTAAAGAATTACTACTGACTGAATTCAGGGGCCGACCCAACGAGAATATAGTTCAAAACCACTTTAACATAGCATTGTTAAACGTATTTTAGTAATTACACGGTAGATATAGGCATATTTTTATCCCCTAAAAAGTTTTCATCTGTTCGGATTTCCTAGCTGAAAGTCTAGTCATCCGAAAATTATAGGGATCAAAACCTACCTTTTCGAAAATTTCAGCCAGAAAAAAGGCTCCCTCAAATTCTAGGTGACCTTTTTAGGGTAAAAATCCGTTAAAAATGGGCAATTATACCATTTTTTAGACGTTCGAAAACCCTAGGAGAGGCAGGCAAGCAAGAAATTCGACAAAAAATGTTCCGAAAATTCTAGATCTCAAATCGCCTTCCGAACAGATATTTTCCGAAAATTGTCGTTGGGTGCCCCTGTGAATTTATTCATATTGGATTGAAGTTTACTTTCCAACTTGAGCAGCTTTTGGGGGAAGTTGTATCTCTTAGCTTTATCATTAATAGTCTGACATCACTTAACTTGTGAAATAGATAGCAGACACTACTATAATTCACAGCAAAGTACATTCTAATTTCATTACTTTCTTTTGTTTAGTCGTAAACTATTGAGCACTAATTGTTACGAGATACTGCCGTCTGCATAAAATCACTTGATCAAACTATCTCGATAAATATCACAACAACAAGTTTCTTTTTTCCTGTAAATACTTTTACGTGCCCAAAGTACGATGACACTGATTACCGGCTTTAAGTTGCATGGTCTTCAAGCCAACCTTCCTTTACTGAGGCGCAAAGTTCTGAAGCAAAAGCAAAATTTACGCGCCTTTCGGGAGCGACTACACAGGAAATATGGCCATGTATACTGTATGTATGAAGTCATCAGTACGGCTGTAGATACAATTGAGAACGATGAAACCGATGAAGGGAGTTTACTTATTTTCGGTGGCCGTCAGCGGGCTTTTGTTGTGGTTCGTTTTACTCGGCAGTGGAGGACTTGTTTGTTGTTTGTATACTGCGAAGAAACAAATAAGCCAAACGAACCGCTCGAAGCCTGATGAAGTGTGCAACTGGCCCTGCATTCTATCAGTGAATTTAAGCCGAATTTCGAATTCGCAAGTTTAGAAGTAAAGCTAAGAAAGATGATAAATTTTTACTAGGAATAAAGCGTTTAACAGTATACTTTCAATTTAACGAAAACAGCATCGAAACTCAGTTGCGAATCACCGAGGGCTCAAAAAACAGAAAAAATATTTTTGAGTAGGAGCTTATTGATTTAGATAATTAATTATTCATTGAAAGCAATGAGTTGTAGATAGTTATGTTAAAGTGTATTCATGGCACAACTGACTGGAAAGATCTCAGTGTAATTTAGGAGCGATGACCGGATATCGAAATGATTCTAATTTAGCAGGCAATTGAAAATCGTTCCTTGAAATTCGTTGAAACAGTATAATGTTGAAATGCTAAGACTGAAAACGACCATGATCCTGAAATAACGTACCTCGATCACGAGGAGCTGAAGGAGCAAAGCTGAGTACGAAAAGGATCTTCAGTATATAACAGTCAGTTTTATGCCAATTCATGCCATTTAAACTCAGAAAACTCTGAGTATATAACATATACCCTAAGTCGCTTCATACCTTAATAATTCTGAAACTGACCTCAGTAACACACACCAACAAGTGCATATAATATCACGGAAAATCAGTTCTGAGTATAAACCGCAAACCGAACATTTATAACAGGAATACAGTCATGTAGTTCTATAACTTTGTCAATGTTATGTCAAGTCGCTTCATATTTGAATGATATAATTCCGAAACTGACCTAAACGCACAAACAGGTGCATACAATATGGCGTACAATCAGTGAATAGAACATTACGATTTCCAAATCAGAACTCGGGAAAAAAATATCTGAATTTTCTTTAACATTGCCCTGAAATAAGCAACAAATAAGAAAGTAAACTGAGTAAACCCTGAAATATTAGTCAAGATATATAAAGTATGAGCGTTCGTCGTTGTAGAAGCCCCTATTTTGTTCAATTCAGTAAACTGATCTCACGCTAGCCGGTCTTTCTGAAACTAAACATGGGACGAAAACGTTTTTCAATAGCTTTGCTTTAACACCAGATTGCAGAACAAAAAGTTACTGCACAAGCTGGAATTTGATTGCAAGTTTTTCAGTAAGAAAGTGTTGTTATGATTTCCACGGTTGGTCGAATATTTCAAGGATGAAGCTTAAATAATTAAGCGTCTGGTCGCGATACTTCACTTCCCTCCCTTTACATGACAATTTCTCTAATAAAACTAAAATCCTAACAGTTTCATTTTACCACTACTAATGAAGCGATGGAGACCGAAACAGGAAAAAATACATGCATGCGCAGGAGCGGACTATGTTATTTCCACGGTTGGTCGTTTTAAGTTTTAGTAATTTTTAGACTTAATTACATGCGACTCTGACCGAGGAGACTATTCTTTAATTTGTAATGATTCAATAATATCCCCGTCGATATGATCAATTTGTCACTGCTAGCAATCACCACTATTTGTCTTGTTAGTTAACAAAAGTTCTCGCACTTTATGGCTGTTTAAAATTACTCGTCTTTGTTGTAAATTACTTTTTATTACAGGTTTACAACATACCCCATATAACCTACAGTTATGTCTGCGATCATAACAGGCGTCTTCAAGGTCACTATTGGTTTGGCCGCTACAAAAGCCAGAGATGTACTGGCGGAGAAGCTAAAAGAAGGCGATGTAACAGATCAAAAATTTCGGGACCTAATTGTCAGTGACATTAAAGACATCAAGTCAAAGCTGGATGCAATGTCACGAAAGGATCTTGGGGCAGCTGTAGATTTCTTTGAAACAGGACTAAGGTGTTTAAATGCTGCAGTTTATGGAAGACACAGTGACAGTGCTATTAGGAGAGCAGCACAGGAATCTGAAAGAAACAAAGAAAAACGTCTTGATGAGTTAACTTTGCCTTCAGCCACTTCTCCTGAAACCACAGTTGTCCTCGCTTCGAGAGTCAAAAACATCCAGCTGACTAATTTGGTCGACGAAGAAGCCAAAAGAGCTCTTTTTGACGCAAGAGACAGATTCAGTGATGCTCGTAAAAAAGCAACAGATGCCTCCAACAATGAAGCGCTCAGTACGTTTGATCAAATTACAGCCATTCGATATCGTGTGATGGCGGCAATGTTAGAGTCAGCTGCTGATATGGCTGTAGGAACCGCTGGCGACTTGAGAAGCACTTTGAAGAGAGCGTTGCCAGAGTGTGAACAGTGTCTTGAGAAACTGCACTCCCTTCCAGCTGTTCAGAAAAGTTTTAACGTCGAGATTGAGAAGAGTCTACTAAATGTCAGAGGTCGATTTGGTAAAGATGAGCGAAGAGATATTATTTCCATTGTATGTCAGATAAATCGCGTCATCTACGATGCGACACAAGCTGCTGGAAGAGATGTAAATGTCGGGGTCTGGCCGTCTGTGGACACTGGAAAAGAGAAAGTTGATCCTCTACGCGATGGAAGAATATCAAAGGTACTGTACAAAGTTAAGATGGAGCACTGCAGTTTACTATGGTCATTTGGTCAGGAGGGTGAAGAGGAGCACAACCTGAAGTGGCCGCGTGGTATCGCTACAAACCATAGAGGACAATTCCTGATAGCAGACGATGGGGATAAAACCGTGAAGGTGTTTGATAGCAACGGAAAGTTTGATTTTAGGTTTAATCCTCAAACTGATGACGCCGATACAGAGTTAGATATTTTGGATGTCGCCACTGCAGGCGAGGACGACAACATTTATCTACTGGTCAGACTGAAGAAGCCTGGGGCTGAGGAATGGGAGAAGGAAGTGCAGGTTTTTAACAAAACCGCTGACCTACAGCACAAGTTTGATGTGAGGAGCTGGGAGTGGCGCGACAAACTAACAGTGAGCAGCGGCAAGCAACGCGGCAAAATTCTGCTGTTGACATGTGATGACGTTGTTGATGTTCATGAGCCGCGTGGTAAGCTTGTTTGTAGCTTTGGTCGAGGAGTGTTCAAGGATGCAACAGATATCACTGCTACTTGTGATGGTCGCGTCATGATAGTGGACTCAGAAGATGACAGTTTGTACATATTTGATGTGGAGGGACACCAGCTTGGCAAATTTAATATCAAACATGAGAAAGATGTCTATTATCGCATTGCATGTCACCAGGCAAGTGGCCATGTTGTCCTTGCTGGTCATGAACGAGAGACAGACCGCCTGACGCTGGCTATATACACTGTTAATGGCGAATTTGTTCGCAGAATTCAGCTGGATGAAGTAGTATGGTCTTATCTCGGTGGAATAACAGTACGTGGAATAACAATAACAATGACCGTGGAGGGTCACATTGCTGTGGCTTTACAGGATATTACAGACGAACATACTCTCCAAGCAAAGGTAATTGTTGTTTAAAACTAAAAAATTCGAAGACACAAGTCAACAGTTCTTATTTTACTTTCATGAATAAATGTCATCAAGGCAGATGTTTAAATTTAATGCTGCAGTTGACTGGAATCACTGGACATGACTGCATTAAGCCACAGACACTGGCTTAAGTTCACTGATGTTTGTAGTAAATCTTGTGTTATCGCTCTAACTAAGAAACCAAAACAGGTAGAATGAATGAGATACATGTACAGTAAACACTCGCTAATCTGGCAAAAAAGGTTCATTTATTTTGGGGTACGTTAAAGAGTAATTAAGGCTAAGTACAACTGTAGGTTCTTAATTAGGTTTTTAATTTCTGTGAAGGAGATGAACGTAACAGGGTGTCCCAAAAGTTTGTTCCTCTAATTTCATGCTCAGTATTAACTATTGATCAAAACTTTATTTTTACATGAAATTTCTAAAAGATGTTTATTGCTCTATCAAGTACATGATTGTATTCAGAAGTTCAGTAAGCTGCAGGTCCCCCTTTTTTTTTTATCACATTCTGTAGCCATTGCACATGGCATAGAGTGGGATAAGTCATGATAGCGTCTAGAGCCCCATATGAGCCACTTTTAGCTTTTTCATCACCTGGTACACAGGAGCCACCTTGACCCCCAAACAATATCATTTTTTTAGATTAGGCAGCCAAAAAAATATTTTAAGCATTCATGTAAACAAAATATAATCATCCCGGCCTCTCTCTGCAGTAAGGTTTTTTTACTTCTTTGGGAGGGGACTAGCTGAACGTTGCTTGGTGGACTGAGCAAGGTTTTTTTTTGCCATCTCACAGGCCTCCAACCGTCTCTTTCCAGGAAACTGCCCCAGACTTAGCTTGCTAACTGTTTTGAGAGCCGCCTTGTTGAGTTTCCTTTTCTTTTTGCCCAGCCTATGTTAGAACTATTTTAGCTGCTTTATTCAGGACTTTATGTTCTCCAGCAGGTTCTTAAACCACAGTTTCTTATTAGTGAGTGGGTGTTTACTGTAAGTACAGTAACATTCTTTGTTTCTTTAACAATTGGTGGTATAATAATATTTTTGTTTGTGCAGAATGGAAAATAATACAATCCAGATTCAGCTGGTTTACAAAAACATCCTCATCATTTACCAGCTTCTCTATAACTCTTTTTGTTAAAGATTCAAGTTTTTAAGTTTGAAATGCTCTACATTGTAACTCAATCGCTTGCCACATCAAAATAAACCTTTGAAATCTTCTCCAGGAAAAATATTTTATGATGCT